CAGAGAATTTAGAGTGTACACACTTCTGATATCTCCATCTCTGGTAGTGCTGCTACTGCGGCTCGGGACGAACTAGACCGGCCGATGAGATAATAGCACACCAGTAGAACTGGTGTGACGTAAAGTGCAGCCAGGAGCCATATTGGTTGTGTCATTTTCGATATTATTCTTTTTAATTATTCTAGTAAGCAGTGAATTGAGGCAGATGTAAGAATGTGGATGATGCCATACTCTAGACCGAGGTGTAAATAGATGGGGCTCCCCCCACCCCACGTACGTATGTATGTACATAAGCACGCCCTTCCGGGACGCTAGGAAAGGGAAAATGGACTACTTTCCGGCATGTCTTTCCGGCTACATGTCATGTTGCAGCCATGCACATATCTTCACATTTGTCTCAAATTTTTCGTTAATGTTAATGTCATCGATGAGATCTTTACAACAGTATTTTTTTTTTATGATCTTAAAATATCAGACTCCTAAACCCGCTTTCCAAAGACTCTAAATCTCTTCACTCCGCCATCAGGAATAATCACCAGCTTTGCGTGTGTGTACCCCTTGCCTGATACTTCCTTCAACTCAGCCTTGTACACATGTTCTGTATCTGGGCCTGATTTTTGCGGAGCCAGTACTTCCGTCCACCCTGCGTCATCATGACCGGGGTCTTTGTCAAAAGCGCCTGCGAACACCTGCACCTTTTGTGGGAAGTTGCCTCTGAAATGCGCAGTGTCGATGACAATGTGATCAATCTCACCCTTTGCTCCAAGTCTTACAATCGTCCAATCAACATGCTCACCACGTGTGCGCTTCGTTTCCCAGCCATCGCCCATGTCCTTTCCACGACCAGGAAGCAGCAGGTTGTCTTTTGTACCGAAATGCTGGTCAGAGCAAGATGTTGCAACGCCGCCCATGACTGTTGCAGAGAGCTCAAAGACAGCGTCTGCAGATTGAGGGAAAACGGGAACAGCAACACCGTACAGGCGGAAACGCGCAATTCCTCCATCTGGGTACATGAGCAACCGAACATGAGTGTATGCCTTTTCAGTGATGTTGGGAAGCAGCCACCCATGCCTTTGGCTAGGTCCGCACTCCTGCTTTGACAGTATAGTCTCCCAGCCTGCATAGCTTGGCTTCTTAACCTCCTCTTCATCCTTCTCATCACTGATGAAAGCGCCTTCGACAGCAATTTCTGGAGCGTGGTTGCCGTTGAAATGAGCCGTGTCAATCTCGATACCTGCTACTTTTCCGCTGGCAGTACCCAGTCTTAAGACGACCCAGTCTGCAGGCTCTGGGTTGTGGCGGCGCGTCTCCCAACCATCGTACCAGGCTCCGGTATGGACGAAGACACCCGGTTTACGGATTGGTGGAGTTGGTGTTATCAGATTTTCCGCAGCAGCAAAGTATTCATCGCTGAAGGACAGCACCTTTGAACCGAGAGGTGCAGAAATAAGGTCTACACAGTGTCAAAAAATACAAGAAGAGCATATATTGCAAACGTATCATACCTGTGTACTTTGACTTGAATGTTGAATCGATTTCCTCAATTGGAATTGAACGGGCCATGGTGTAGACTTTGACAATTTATCAGAAGGTATATGAGAAGATTCAATGCTAGAATTTGGATGAATTGACAAAAAGAACGGAGAATCGACCGCTGTTGGAAAGATGTATGAGACCAACACGGGACTATGGCGGGGTGGTGGGGTAGCTTAGACCCTGTCAAATAACGCTTGCTACCTATCGGAGGCCGCCGACTCTGGATATTCAAGGGCCGATGGCGGAGTCGAGCAGATAGCCGGCATCACTATTTTCAATCGAGTAATAATTTGGTATTAGACCAATCGCCGCCATACCTTCTGTAAATTTTTAGATAATCATAAAATTGGGAAACTAGCACAAAAGCATCTAACCCAGAGTACTGTAGTCTGATGGGTTTCAAGCGCACAAAGGTCATCAGTCGGTTAAACCAGGTCATGCTAGTGAAATATTGACATCTTCGCATTTGCTGTCAACAGCACTAGGCATATTAAGAAGAATCTATCGATCTCTTGATGCTACAATGATATCCAATCGGCCCGGTTCATCTTACATCTCATGCCTTCAACCCAACCAGCCACCAGGCCGCCTTTACGAGCGTCTGTGGAGTATGCAACAATACGGGGAGTGGCTTTTAACCCAACAGACATTCGTTGAAATACGGATGCTTCGCTCATAACTGAGCTAGTCGCGGTTGATATTTTTCTACTGGGAACCGGCTCTTGCCACGGATACGACAGTCGTGGCAGTGGGTGCTAGGCACGACGTGGCTTGAAGGAATTCGGTCTCCAACCAAACCAGGCAGAATGGAAGCAACTAGCCCGTACCGTAATCGGCAAAGATTTGCAACTCTATCAACTTTCTCTATCTTCACCCAAAGCTTGGGTCATTCCATGATGACTCTGAATAGTATGAGCTGCCATTCTTGTTCATGCCGCCACTTAGATCTAGTTTGGCCATGAACTCCGGAGGTACAGTGGGAATATATTTCCGTTCCCTTTCCTTGTTGACGCCGCCAAAGCCGGCGCCGTAGCTGATGAGCATATCTGTCGATGTTGGTAATGAAAACGGTAGCATATACGAAGGATCCAGAAGAAGCTCGTCGGGAAGTTCGTCATGCTCTTCCTCATCAGACATTCGTGAGGGTGCAGGCGAGGGCTCGATCGGTCTCTCAGCAGTCGGTCTGACTGGTGTGGTCGGCGCAGAGTCAGGATTCGGTGATTTTGTCTTTGCAGCTTTTCGATCGGCTGCGGCCTTTTGTAGATGGACAATGTATTTTGATGCGCTTTTTGGGAGACCTTTTTCGCCGACTTCTGGTCTGTAGTATTTTGCGGTATGCAATAGTTGTTGAGGCGACAGACGCGTCAACTGCTGCAATGTTCCTACAAGCGACTCTAGATCCTCGCCAAGTGATGAGAAACATTGCAACCATTGAAGTAGCTGGATCAAAGGCTCAAGGTGCCGCTTGGCAGCATCTGCAGTGTTCTCCCCAGTGGAGGTCATGGAGCCGTTCTCATAGTGCTCTGGCTGCCGGTTGTTTGACCGTGCCCAGTCTTCCAGTGTCGAGACGTTCATGCGTATTTGCATAGCCTTTGTCCGAGCTAGGTATTTTCGATTGGACATTATACGGTTGAAAACTTCGGCAGAAATCCAGTATATCAGCTGCGATAGCACCTGGGCTGTAATGACAGAATGGACGTCGTAAAGATCAAGAACAAACAAAGTAGATGCAAGAAGGGAAGTAATGTTTCTTGGTGAGGGCTGCGCTCGACGCTTCGGAGACGGCGGTCGGAAGCGTTTCTCAAGTGGCTCTACGGGCTTCGCCTTGGGCTTTGAACGAAATATTTTCCACTCGTGCTGGAAATGCACATCTTCAAATCCGGGCATCGGCTCGTGGTCCAGCATCGCCTGGTCAAGATTCTTATCCATTCTCCGCTCTGCATCACGAATGATCAAGATGAAGATTTCATTGATCAGTTCGGCCATTTGGAGTTGGAAGTTGTTGGTGGCCCCCATCAATCCGCCATCTTTTTTGAGATAATGCAAAAGTAAAGTGGCATTCGACATCCAGAATGCTAGCACGGTCATATCCCACTGATGTTTTTCGACCACGTCATTAATCTTGTTCATGGCAGATACGAGTAATGTTTCGAGGAGTTCGGGGTTGGCATGATAATGTGCATACCGGGCACTGAGGAAGAGTATGTTTGCAGGTACCGGCTTTTGCGACGGGGAGCGTTGCGGTGTCATGTTTGTGATGATGATGTCGAGGATGCGTTCAAGCTCGTTTTCTTGGAAGACAAACATTTGGTCATTGAGGCACCTATCCCATATAAACTCTTGGGCTTCTTCCTCTGGCTCTTCAGGAGACTATATCGGTTAGCGGTGCGTTCACGCTGGGAATTATAGTCCATACCTCTGGCTGCTCGTCCAAGCCAAGATTGCCAATATCCACTTCCAGGTTGAAGGCGCTTTCCATCATCATGCGCCGCTTCATGTCGTTCTCCTGCATCTCCTGCTCAAAGCGATCTTGTGAGAAACCAGAGCTGTAAAAGTCATCTCCAACGCCCACGTTGCCAATGGCATATCCGCTCTCGTGCAGGTATTCGGAAAGTTCCGTGTTGGGCTCGACAAAATCGAATGCGGTCCTCCCGCCCGAAGACTTGACGTCCGTGGATGCCCCGTGTTCTAAGAGGAGTTTGACGATATCCTTGTGTCGGTTCGTCATGGCCCACATGAGGGGTGTCCAGCGATTCCTGTCCTGTATGTCAACAGTAGCGCCTTGGTCGAGTAGGGTTGCAGCGACATCCTCGTGGCCGAAGCAGCTTGCGTAGACTAGTGGCGGTGTGCCCTCGGCGTCGACTCCATTGATATCGATGTATTCCCGTGCCTTGCCGTCGAGTAACCGCTTCACTCTTTCAAGTTCACCGTTGGAGGCAGCCAAGGTGAAGAGGCCTTGCAGGGCTTCCCTCTTCTCCTCGTGTGACAACTTGTCGTCAGCGACCACTTTTGCTTCATCGCCTGCGTTGTCGTTTTTTAGGCGTGCCTGGTGGGCGAGCATCTGTACCAGACGGCTATCGCTGTCCTCGAGCTGCTGCATGTCCTCATCGCCAAAGGTCGGGTCGTCGAGCGAGAGGTTGAAGCTGAGTGGGCGGGCGGGCATGGGGGTGGTGAGGAATTGCGACTGGCCTACGTGGTGTTAGCGGCCCATCTTGCAGCATGGCTCCTGCCGGATGCACCAGCGCCTACCTTGCCATGCATCGTATATCTCAGTCTCCTCGTTCATTATGTGGACGGGTCTCCTATCATTGAGCGAGGTGGGGAGATCGGGGGGCAGTTGGCGTGGCCTTTGCGGCTCTCCGAGATCGCCTGAAAAGGCATGTGCGTGGTCGGGAGAGTCCATGATGTGACATTGAGTTGGGAGCGAGGCGGAAACGTAAGCAGCGGGCGCTCGTCAAGGGCAGCTATCTCTGGGGGAGATGCATGGGGAGAGCGAGAGTAAATGTCGGGGAGAGTGCTGGCCACTCGGGGCGTAGTGGGGCAAGTGCGGTGCAGCGGTAGGGTGCGGTGCGGGAGCCACGCTGGCGGGAGGAGTGCGGCGAGTCGAGCAGTTCGCAGCCAGGCGGTGTCGAGGGCGTCGGGATGCCAATGGTGGCGGTGGTGAGGATATGGGGAGGCGGATGTATGTGAGTGGTTGTGCGTATGTATGCGGAACGGGTGCACCGCTTGTAGTCGAGGATGAGGCCGCTACCCGGCTGGTGACGCGCCATGGCGATCTGCTGCACTAGGCCGTATCAAGCTGTCACGTCTAGAGTACCGCGGGGGTGATTACATGTGTGCACCAGCAGTGGCCGCATTCGCTCCAGATGGGCGGCTGATGCTGCTGCTAGACGGCCCATGTTTGGAGGGGCGTCTCAGTGGACATGTGTACTGGCGGCGATGCAGTGGTGGGCAGACAAGGCGTGTATCAGCGGGGGCAGGCAAAGCAAAGGGCCCAAGGCGGTGGTGGCAGGCCAAGCGCATCTCGATTATGACGTCCTCCACACCCCAAGCAGCGAACCAGCGGACGAGGCCAGGCGCAAGGCTGCTGTTGCGGACCGCGCCCATGTGTTGTGGCTGATGGGCCATCAGTAAGCACGCGTTGGAGTCCTGCTCTCACACAGCACGGCTGCTCGTTCAACGACGATAGAATCCACCGCCCCCCCTCTCTTGCCACCCCGACCCTCGTTCCTAATTGCGCCCTCGCCATGGCAGTCGCACCCCAAGTGACTGCGTGATCCATCCGCCTGCCACCCTGCCACCGCGCCCGCTCCGCCCAAACCCGCTCCTCCATCCCACCAAGAGCATGCCTTAGGCCCGTCGCGGGCCCCAACAACCACACCCACACCATGTCGCCCAGCCAAGCCACCGGCCGGGCAGCGCGCTTTGCCCATATTCTTGCGCGCCTGCAGGAGCTCCCCAACTACGTCTGGGACTCGGAGATTGAGCCTTTCCATTCGGTCAGTGCCCGACCTCCTCCACCACCAACACCTCGCCCGTCGCAGCAAGTGCGCTAATCACGTGCAGTCTTATGACAATTGGCATTTCTTTGGTTACGAGCGGACACCCCCGCGCCAGGAGCGCCCGCTCTCGAGGGGAAGGAGCGACATCACCTCATCCACCACCTCGCATTCACCGGGCGCCACCCGCCCAGCTTTCCACCGCAGCCACCGCAGCTCCGGCTCAGAGGCGAGCGCCTCCACTGTTCAAACACACCATACACAAACCACCGCCAAAGCCCTTGCTCCCGATGGCCGTGCTGTTGTGTGCCGCGTGTCCCAGCACACTCTGCGACTGGAACGCGAATTCCACCTCTCCAAGCTGGTTGTCAAAGAGTCGGATCCTGAGGGCAGACACTTTGTCCGTCCCATAGAATTTGTGCGCCTGCCTGCAAGACATGGAGAAAATCAGCTGGTTGCCAGCATATTCGAAGCTCCAGGCCCAAACTTCCTCAAGGAATTGGTTGATTTTGGGCCAAATTGGTACAACTGTCACAAAAACATCAACGGCAGCAACCCGCCCCAATTAGATGCTCTTCTGTCCAATCATGGTGTACCCCTCCTGATTTTTCTCGATTTCGCCGTTGGATCAGTAGAGTGTCTGGAAATACTGCACCACGGCCATGAGATTGTGCATGGCGAAATCCGTGGCGACGCTTTCCACTTCGCAGAATCAGGCGTGGTCAAAATGATTGTAAGTAGTTTCTAGTGCGTTCGCTGCAAGAAAAACCTGCTGAACTTGAACAGAATTTTGGAAGCGGGGCACGTTCGTTTGAAAATGGCCTGACAAGTGCTGGCTGGAGTGCGTTATCCAAGGAAACCGGGGTTGAGTTAAAGCTGGCTTTCATCTCTCCCGAACAGACGGGCCGCATGCCTGCCGAGCCGGATACCCGAACAGATATCTACAGCCTTGGCATCCTCTTCTACACAATGCTCTGCGGACATACTCCCTTTGACGGAAGCACTGCTCTCGATGTAATGCAAAACGTCATTAGCAAGCGCATCCCTCCTGTCTCTTCCATACGTCTGGACATCCCCGAAGCTCTCTCTGAAGTCATCCAGCGAATGACGCAACGAAGTATTGAAGACAGGTACCACTCTACCTCGGGACTCAAGCACGACCTCGTTCGTATACGCGAGCTGCTCTGCGAAGGCGATGTTGAGAGATTGAAGGCATTCCAGGTTGGCTCAAAGGACATCAGCTGCTTCTTTAATCTTCCACTCAAGTTGATTGGGCGCGAAAAAGAACGGAAGACAATAGTCGATGTGATTGAGCGAGTAGCGAGGCACCGCCGCAACGGTGTCAAAAACCTGCAGAGCATGAGTTCAGGATCGTCTTATTCAGATCAGCGACTGGATCTGCAATTTGATGATCTCATCTCAGAGAGTACCAGTTCGAGAGGTTCCGAAAGCAGGATGAACAGCGTCTCGGCAGACGGGCCTGTTTTCATGGAGGCGGCTCGATCGATACAACAAGGGTCCCAAGACAGCATCACACAATCAGAAACGTCTACAGCTGACGGTAGTATGGAAAATCGACCCCAGCTGCAATTCACCCATAGAGGGCGGTCTAACAATAGCATTGAGAACTCAGCACTCCATTCTCGCTCACACCAATCCAACGATGGTCTGCGGACTTTAGCAAGTACACGGAGACTAAGGCGCAAGGCTCGCTGCGAGGCAAGTGAAATTCTATCATCCTCTTCCTGAACCAGCACTAACCTGTAGCAGGTATGTCGAGGATCAAAATGCTACCCGCCTTTTCAAATCACCAATCAATATGTACTAATATATCATTGTAGGTAATAGCAATTGGCGGAGCTACTGGGCTGGGCAAGTCCCGCTTAGTGCAGAGCATACAGAGCACTGCGCGGAGTACGGGTTACTTTGCAATGGCCAAATTCGACCCCGATAAGAGGGCGCCTTTCGATCCAATCCTCAGACTCATGTCCTCATTTTTCAGACAGATATTTTCAGAAGCGGATGTCACAACCGAATTTCACCAACGATTACGCCACTATCTCAAGAACAGCGGCGTTTGGATGGTCCTGCGGAGTTATCTTGATCTACCCGAGTGGCTCTTAAACACAAACAACGGGCTCAAAACACCCCAGCAAAAGGACATAGATTTTCTCAAGGATCGTCGTGCATCCTCTCCTGCCGTCCATTGTGGAGGTGCTGGGCATACCGCTGAGGCTTGGCTACGAAGTGGAGGCGCCTCCAAATCGTCACGGTTCATGAATGTCTTTATTGACGTTCTGCGGCTTCTTGCAATGCACAAGCTCTGTACTTGGAGTCTGGAAGATGTCCAAAACGCCGATCCAGAAAGCGCGGAGCTCATACACCACATCGTCCAGGCCAAAATACCCCTTGTTTTGATGCTGACTTACACCGATGAAGAGACTTTGCCGCGGGAGCTCGTTCCCCTTCTTCGAAATGCTACAAAGGTCCAGCTGCTACCCTTCACCGAAGTTCAAACTGCCGAGTACGTGGCGGAAACTCTCCATCGAGATCATCAGTACATACTTCCCCTGGTGGCTGTCATTCAGGAAAAGTCTAGAGGGAACCTATTCTACATACGAGAAATACTAGACACATGCTATAGGAAACGATGTGTCTTCTATGAATGGCGAGAGAACAATTGGGTTTTCGACTTAGATAAAGTCTTTGAAGTCTTCGAATCCCCGGACTATGGATCTGCGGTTACGACAGATTTCATTGCCCGACGCCTGACGGATCTGCCCCATGAGAGCAGAAAACTCCTTGCGTGGGCTTCGCTCTTGGGCGGTACATTCTCTTTCGAGCTTCTGAAGAAACTCTTGAAGCGGACAGGCCACGAACCCCCTGGGGCTAGACTGCCGCTCTTCGACAAGAACGAATGTGCCGTCACAGCACTCAATGAAGTACTCAAAGCCTATGTGCTGATGCCTGCGGAACAAGACTCTCGGTTCAGATTCAGTCATGACAGATACCTGGCCGCAGCCTCCAACTCGTTGGACAAAGAGTGGGACACTCAACTGATGCACTTTATTATCGCCAGAATGATCATCTCCGGAAAGGAGTACCTGGACGACCCAGAATTGAGTTCAAAGGCTTTATATATGCAGAGCCGCCACATCTGTCTTGCTGCAGAGTTGATCAAGTCCAAGGAACCAATACGGGCTCCATTTCGTGACATGCTCTATCAGGCAGGAGAGACGGCATGTGAGTCCGGCGCGAGATCAACAGGTATCTACTACTTTGCACACGGCCTCAAGCTGTTGCAAGATGATCCATGGGATGAAAGCAAACCAGATGTTTCATATCAGGAGACTTTGCAACTTTTTGTTCGTTCAGCCGAGTGCTATTGGCACCAGGGCATGTATGACGAAGCCCTTAGTCTGATCGAGACTACATTTCAACATGCGAAAAACCCATGTGACAAGGCCAGCTCGTTCATCCTTCAATCCCGTGTCTTTGCCGTTCGTGGCGATAGTTTGGGGTACGTAATTCCACCTTCCCTCCTTACAGAAACGACTGTCATATCTTTCTTGAGTTGTACGCTAACAATATCACTATCTGCAGAGCACTTCAGGCTTTGAAGAATTGTCTATCTATGCTTGGGTATCCTATACCTCCCACTACGTGGGAAGCCTGTGATGCACAGTTCCAAAAGCTCTACAGCATGCTTCAAACGACTGACAAGAACGAACTGCTTGCGTCCCAATCGCTAACAAACGACCGCGTTCTGATGACCATTGGGCCTGTATTTGTTGAGCTCCTTAGTGCGGCGTTCTGGTCAAACAGCTTACTGTTCTATCAAGCAACACTAATGTTAATCCAAGTGCACCTTGACCGAGGCATCATATCACAGGTAGCGCTTGCGTACGTACACCTTGGCAGCATTGCTGGTGGCCGATTCAACATGGTACAGTTTGCTGTGGATATGGGCGATATAGCAAAGCGGATTTTCCAGATGTTCCCCGAAGATTACTACACCTTAGGCAGAGCCCAGACTCTACAGCCTTTGTTTCTTGGCCACTTGGAAGGGCCACTTGGCGATTTGATTCCTTTTCTGGAGGACGCTTTACAGGCTTCTCTGACTGCGGGCGATCGTATTCTCACGCTCTTGAATGTTGGTGTTCGGGCTTATTTCAAAATCATGGCTTCTCATGACGTCGCTGAATTAGAGGCTTGGATCGAGGAAACACCTCTAGACATGAAAAATTGGGGAAAAGACTTAAGAGGAGGTGTGTTTCTGATAGCCAGCCGCCAATACGCGCGAGCTCTTCAAGGAAAGACGGACACAAACGACGCATCATCGATCTTCTCCGATCACGAACACAATGAAGCAGAGTACATCAGCTTCCTTGAAAAGACAGCAAGCAATCCGAAGCGGCCAAAGTCGATATACCTTGCTATGAAACTTCCAGTATTGGTGCTCTTCGGTTTCAATCCGGAGGCTATTGCTCTTGGTGAGCTATTACTGCCCATGATAAGCAGCATGTGGTGTGAACGGTCAAACTACTCGGTGCGGTATTATTTGTCAGTGGCATATATGGCCGTTCTCAGAGCGGACCCCCAGAACGCTCGCAAAGACGAAATGCTTCGCCATGTCCAAGATACACTGAAGCTGCTCGATGTGTGCTGTACAATTACTGATGCCAACTACCGAGGCTGGAGGCATATTCTCAATGCCCTTGTAGCAGAGAGCAGTCTCGACTATACATCTGCGCTGCAAAATTACGAAGGTGCCATGGATCATAGCGAGACTTACAACTTCACACTAGACGAAGCATTTGCTCTCGAGTTATATTCCGAGTTTCTCATACGGAAAAAAGCTCATAGGGCAGCCCGTCATACGATCAAGGACTGTCTCTCGACATATAGAAGAATGTCAGCATTTGGAAAGGCGAATCACTTCGCGAGCAAGCACAATGCTCTTCTCGGTCGCAGTGCTCCATTTACTGCTCAGGACGTTGGTGTCCAGACTTCGATCACTGAAACAAACAACACAGCCTTCCGGCTCGAACAGAATGACCTGGGGACTGAAACGGCTGTTGATCGGACGCAGAACTGGATTGTCCCAGAGGGCACCCGTCGCCAAGAGTCCGCTCAGGGTCTGCAGAATGGCCTATCGGCTGTTGGTCTCGACATGTTAGATCTTTCCTCTATCCTTGAGTCAAGTCAGGTTCTTTCGAGTGAGCTAGTGGTAGATAAACTCATGGCCAAGATGAGTTCGATTCTCTTGGAATCCACTGGAGGAACACTTTGTGGCATTGTCGTCGAGGACCCACAGATTGAGTGGTCTATCGCATGCGTAGCTACCAACGAGCCCGACAATGACAGTGGGTTCAGTTCGGGTGTTACATCATTCCCTGCCAGTCAGCCTTTGGACACTGTGGACGATGTGGTCGCTAGACAGGTGACACTCTACACGTTGCGCTTTAGGGAGACCGTCTTTGTTCAGAACCTGCTAGAAGACGACCGTTTCTCCAACGTCTCAGACTCGTACCTACGACGCAACCCCGAAGGTAAAGCAGTTATTTGTATCCCTATCGTACACAGTGACCATCTCTTGGGTTCGATTTATGTCGAAGGTCCGCCAAACTCGTTCACCGAACGAAACACACAAGTCCTTCGATTGCTGGTCAACCAGATATCCATCTCTCTGGCGAATGCGCTACTCTTCAAGGAGGTTGAGAGGGTTTCTGCAAGTAACGAGGCAATGCTGGAGATGCAGAAACGGGCCTTGGCGCAGGCACGAGCTGCAGAGATTAAAGCGAAAGAGGCCGAAGCAAATGCCATTCGTAACATGAAATTGAAGGAGGAAGCAGCAAAGGCCAAGAGTCTCTTTTTAGCCAATGTTTCGCATGAACTGCGCACACCCCTGAATGGAGTCATTGGCATGTCGGAACTGTTGAAGGCGTCGCCTCTCAACGGAGAGCAATCAGGATATGCAGACTCGATTCGTGTCTGTGCTGATACGCTGCTTTCGATCATCAACGATCTGCTTGACTATTCCAAACTCGAGGCTGGCAAGATGAACGTCATGGAGATGCCGATTTCGCTCAATGAGACCATTGCCGAGGTTGTTCGTGCGCTTGCGTACACAAATGCTGAGCGAGGCCTCAAGACAATTGAACAGCTGGAACTAGATCCGGAAATGCTTGTCATGGGTGACCCTGTCCGGCTTCATCAAATTCTTATGAACCTACTATCCAATAGCTACAAGTTCACGCCAAGAGGGTCGGTCACGGTTCGTGCAGTCGTTGATCAAGAGACCAGCGAGTGGGCAGATGTGACTTGCAGCGTCATTGATACTGGAATCGGCATTCCAGACGAGCAGAAGCAAAAATTGTTCCTTCCCTTCTCGCAGATTGAATCTAGCTCTGCCAGAAGCTATGGCGGCACAGGTCTTGGCCTCAGTATCTGCAAAGCTCTCATAGAGAATGTCATGCATGGAACAGTACGCCTCGATAGCCAGCCAGGCAAAGGAACAACTGTCACTTTCTCGCTACGTTTCAAGAAGGTGCCAAAAGCACGTGCAGGGGATCAGCAGCAGAGGAGCAGAGAACCAGATCCTATGGCCAGGTTTTCTAGCCAGGAGAACAATGGTCACGAACATACTTCAGGTGCTTGCATTGACCTGTCTACTGTTCCAAGACGAGACCTACGGGTCTGTATTGCAGAGGACAATCTGATCAACCAGCGTATCGCCATCAGCTTTGTGCAAAAACTTGGGTTCAAATGCGATGCATATTTGGACGGCTTCAAGACAATAGATGCTCTGGAGCGTGCATCTGAGAATGGACGACCATTCCATCTGGTCCTCATGGATGTGCAAATGCCGCATTGTGATGGTTACGAAGGTATGATGACTCTTCTCTACTGTGCATTCAATTTGCATGTACTAATAACGCGCAGCTACCAAACTCATCCGGAAGCATCCCAATCCTGAGATAAGAAACGTTCTCATCATTGCTATGACGGCTTCAGCCATACAAGGTGACCGTGAAAAGTGTAAGTGCTGCGCTCGGTTAAGCTTGTTCCGGTAGACTAAGAATCTGGTACAGGTATCGCAAGCGGCATGAACAACTACCTGGCAAAGCCTGTGCGCGCGCAGACTCTCAAGGCGCTGCTCGAGTCGTACTTGAACAAGAACAAGGAGTCTGAGGAAATACCGAATTTGGCAATCGAGGCGAAGAAGATGGTCAACGACGCGCTGAAGGAGGCCCAGACACTACCCAACGTCACGAGTGGAAACAAGGATGTCCAGAAGGAGGCGGATGTCCAGAGCGCAGCGATAGAAGCAAAGAAGGCGGACCGGCCATTGGGAGTGCGTATGTCGACTACTCAGCACATACTTCCAAACGGGAAGACGGAGCCTGTTCCACCATCATGATAAAGTTTGTTGTGTTGTGGAGGGGTGCCGCAAGGGGACATGTTGGTCGCACCAGGGTGGTCATGTTCTTTACGAGGTCTGGACGCTGGTTATAAGCTGCATTGCAAGGCGTTTAGTGCACCGAGAAGCCGGGTTCGCAAAAGAGGCGTTCCAAGCGCATCATGGACAGGGCGGTCTAGATGACTTAAGTATTTTCGATATCAATGTGTACATATACGATATATATATAACTTGATACATGTGCATGTTACATGTTTAGCTGGCTATAGGTCATGTGCATAAGGATGAAGGGGGCCAGATTAGGTGCATGTCCTCACCGCATACATGGCACAATTGATGTATGTGGGCCCGCTAGTACAGGATGATGTACTGCGGTAAGCTGCGGTAGAAGGTAAGAGCTATACTATATAGAGGTATAATCATTAAGAAGAGCGTAGTGTTTTTCCAGCAATGAGTGATGCGACGAAGATTTGATTTACCGTCTCAGCGTGTCCACAGCAAGGGAATAGTTCAGGGCGCTCGGGTTTAGGTTTATTACGCACTGTAGGGATTAGCGAGAAGAGGTAAGGTGCATACTAACGTGTCAGCGTATGTTGGTTGTCCATACGCTCCGCCCTCAGCGACTCGCTGCGGTGGCCGAATAGCCGACCAAGGCGGGTTAGCGGCAGGACCAAAGCGCTGCCCGAGCGTGTCGCCGACTCCACCACGGTCGTTTGCAGACCCGCATCATCCGGAAGCGTGCGGCGCAGTCACTCAACCACACAGCGTGTCAGAAGTGGCTCATGAGAACGTGGCTCAAACGGCGCAGTGGCTCAGTTGCCAATCAAGCGCATAAACGGCTGGGGTTCCGCGACACATCACGGCCGTGCTAAAAAGGCCGTCCATGAGGGAATAATCTGTGAACAGCTCACTGCATATCCGAATAGGAGATTGCGTCACGCTCGGCTGCCGGCTTGTGCGCTGCTCAATTACTGGATAGTCGGCATGCCTGCCAGCCGTCTGCTGACTGGCTTTTTGCTGCTGGTGTTTCTTTCCTTCTTTCCTTCTTCCTCATTCTTGTTGATCTGTCCAACTGTTGACTCCCTTTACTTACTTCTGCCTGACGTGCCTTGCCAATTGTTTATATAGTGAACAGGTGTTGTGCTTTCCCTTAATGGTATACGTCTAGATCCACCACTTTACGAGAGCGACCACACATCACATTGCCAACCATGGCCACCATCTCACACTCCAAGCGACCACACTTCCTCAGCAACAACCGAAGCGGGAGCAGCGTCTCCTCACGCTCCTTCTCCGCACCCGTTGAACACTCGCTAAGGGAATACCCACGTGTCTTCCAGGGCACCGATGCCGTGCCTCAGAACCAGAGGGTAGCCCTCCACCGAATCATCGACACACACCAAGCTCTCGATCTCAAGTACGAGCAAGAGCAAGTCTCCACACCCACCAGCACCACAAGCGGACGGCCAACGTCGTCGTCTTCCTCCATCCTATCCAACGACCCCTTCACCCTCGACCTCAACAGCCTACCCGTCCAAGACGCAGAAATTCGAGCCTTCCGCTACCTCCTCCGACTCTGGGACCCAAAATCCTATCCCGAAGACCCAGAATTCGATGCCGCCATCGCACCCCGCAAAGGGCAGTTTGAAGAAAAAGCAATGAAGCACTTCATCAACCGCGTGGCACTCTGGGACGTAAGCGGCGACGCAGGCCAGGGCATGACTCGGAGCATCTTTGCTTTCCGGCGAAGACGCTCACGGGCGAAGAGCGTGTCACAGACGCTGAACGAGGGCGCGGACGAAGGACGGGATGCGCTCAAGGAGGCTACGACGAGAGAGGGGCTAGCGCAGCTCATATGGACACTACTGCATGATCCCAAGGTGCTGAATGAATCGGCGCTTGGGGATAGGTGTATGGAGGCGCTGAAGGAGATGTATCGGCTGACGTCGCCGACGGGTTGACTGTCCAGAATGCGGGTTGAAATCTATAAAAGATTTATTTTGTTAAGCGTTCTTTTTTCTCTTCTCTTTGAGTACATATGTGTCTAGTTGGGTTGCTGGGCTAATAGTGCAATGTGAAAATCACAAAAGTTAAGGGAGATAGGGGGTAGGTGCAGATCCAAAAAAGTATGCAATTGTGAAAGTAAAGCTTTGTGCTCAGTCATGTGACATACATATTCCGAGGGAACTATTGTCCTATTTCGAGGCTGAGGAGCCCTTTGAGTGGCTTTTTTTCTTCGATATATCACCAAATCCGATATGTGGAGTTTGACTTTGCATGAGCAGAAGTCGTTGCGTAGACCCCTTATCGATGCCTATCATCAGTCCCAGAAAAATGACGTCAAGGGATCATCCCGCTTTTTTGCGGCTTCGGCCGAGTGCTGGAAATAAACCAAACACGTTTCTTAAACCTGCGCCTATCACATACAAATACATGTATATACACCAAAAGCTACGATGCCATTTCTTCATCTTGAATACAAGCGGATTCACTATGCTGATCTGTCGCCGACAAATAGAAAGACGCGGGAGACACTAATCTTCATGCATGGTCTGGGCTCGTCGCAGAACTACTACTATGCAGTATGCCAGAAGCTGGTTAGAAGCGGATTCCGCTGCATAACCTTTGATAACACGGGCGCTGGGCGCTCGCCGTATACCTATGTCGAGCAAAGCATTGACACGCTGGGCGAGGATGTTGTCGGCGTTTTGGATGCCCTGAAGGTGGACAAAGCCGTGTTTGTGGGGCATAGCATGGGAGGGTATGTTTTCCCATTTGTGTCCAGCACAATCAAGCATTTCTGGGGGGTTTTTTAAGAAAAGAAAGAAGAGATGATGAGCTAACTTCTGCTATGGTATCGTGGGCGCGCACCTTGCTGCTGAGCGTAGTGACCGCATTGTTGCAGCCATCCTTATCGGCCCCGTCTATCCCAACCCGGGAGTAGGACCTATTTTCGAGAAACGGATTGCGACTGTGGAAAAAGAGGGCATGCAGCCTATGGCAGATAGCATCCCGCAAGCGGCAGTAGGGAGCAAAGCTTCCCCGCTTGCCAAAGCGATGATCCGCGAGTTGCTGTTGTCACAGGACCCAGCTGGTTACGTATCCAACTGCCGAGTCATCATCAATGCAAAGGTGCCTCAGTACGGCGACATCGGCGTGCCTGTCCTTATCCTCGCAGGCGAAGAAGATAAAAGCGCGCCGCTGGAGGGTTGCAAGAAAATGTTCGACGAGATTGGCAGCAGCGAGAAGAAGCTGGAGATTCTACAGGGGATCGGGCATTGGCATTGTCTCGAAGCGTTTGAACAGGTTGCCAGCATGATTGAGGCGTTTTACCACGAGATCCAGTGAACAAGGGGGCCAAAGGCATTAACACGGTCATTATCAACGTAGAACGATGCACGAACCAAGCGTTACGGTGAGAAACGGCGGGGGAGAGAGAAGGAAAGTTTAAACAATGTGTCTGTGTTGAAGTTGTGTTTTATTGAGCAACGGCCATCATGAGGGCGAGTCAGCAACGAAACAGGTGCCAAATCATACCGCTCTTTGGTAGACCAACCTGCGCGGTGTGTGCCTGTGGAGTCGACGACGGGTTCGTGAGAAGCGCACGTGCGAAGCCGATCTCCCAGAAGACTGCATGCAACTACTGCTAGCCAAGTCAAGTAAGCCGTGCCGGCAATCTTGGGGGGCGTGGGTGTTGGCTGCTGGTAATGTCCACGCCGCATGACATGATCATTGGCGCAAGTCCCTGCGCCATGTCTGCTGTATTGGCGGGGCCCTGTTGGCGCCCTCTTCTTATTCCCCCCCTTGGCGCTTTTTTTTATACGACTGGTTGCAGCGGAGAGGGGCCTGTAAGCAGTAAGACGGCGGGCCGCGTTTCCACCGCACTTGATAGCCACCTGGCGGCAAATCTCCAGCAGGGAGAGAGAGAAAAAAGGTACATATGTAAGTATATCTTTAGACCCATGCACAGCACACATGCAACCGCCGTCCCGCCAACGTGGGATTTGGTCCTTGTGTCACGACCCTTACGGCCCCTCCCTCCCTTCCTCCCTCCCCCCTCCACCACCATCAACTACGCGTGTGCCATGCGTAACGCTACTACTGGTAGCCTTGCCCTTCGCCCATCAACCTTGTCCGCGCCAGGTAAGTTGCTTGAGTCGGGCGCGTGCATCTTGGCTTCGCGATGACTGGTGTGTCGCTCTCTTGTTTGATTCGGTCCTTCCCGCCGTCCATGCAGACTTCCAGCCGGCCTGTCTAGTGTGGCTCTAGTCAGTACACGAGGCTGCTGCTCCTTGCCACTTGATATCCTTTGGGACCGCACATCTCTTACCCCAACCTGTCACAAGGTCAGCCACAGCCAGCCTATGAATCCGCCTCGTTGTCGTTATCTGCCTCTCTCACACCCACCCACCCACACATACACTTTTCACATGTCAGGCCCAATGACATCGTCATCATACTGGCCGAAAGTGAGAGAGAGACACACCCACCCCAGATCCTTTGTTTAAACTCTCTTTCTACGATTGCGTGCGACCTCGTCTGTGACATATTTAGTGCACCTGTCATGCTCTGTCTCAAGACGCACGGAAGCTAACCTCAAATCCCCTTCCCCAGTTTTATTTCTCATATCGCTCCACTAAGTCTGCTTTCAAATACCTTGTCCCCGCGCACGATCAAACCAATCTTGTGAGGCGGTGAACTGGGACCTCTTTTTTTTCTTCTCCCTCGCTACAGCCCGCCCACGCGCTCGGCTCAGCAGCCGCGGAAAACGCTTTGTTGCAAAGGCCGTTCGGTCGCCGCTGCAATCCTACTAGGTACGGGTCTGGACCAGCCAACCAACGGCTCACGTTTACGTTTTGGTCGTTCGGAGCCGCTTCTCTATATACTTAGTCGTAGCCGCCTCCTCGCCTGTTCTACCTGATTGTGTCGGTTGATTCCAATAGTTTTCCAGGCGAGTCGCGCATACTACCGCGTCACTTGACTGGGCCCCAACAAACTACTTGGTGTTCGCATATCCTCGTTTGCGACTTCGGCCTCTTCCTCTTCTGCTCTCCGCCTCTACTTCTCTTTTTTTCCTTCTCTCTCACCTGCGCCTGTCTATGAGTGAGGTTTTTCATCCGTTTTGCGTTCGCTATCAATATTCTCTCTGTTTCACATCGCGTGTTGGCACTGGCTGCTGGTATGGGCGTCTTTACCCCTTGAGCACAGAACTTGCCTGATTTGGATACTAACTACCAATGCAGACGAGCATCCGAGATTATCAACGACTAAGTCGATATTAACGGCATCTTAACGATCAATATATCCCACATCTACGTCACGGCCTTTTTTTTCCTGCTACTTCTAAGCCGTCCTCTTACATGGATCGACAATGGTCCGAATAGATAGTGGATTCGCTGGATCTCAACATTCAAACATGGCCAGCGAAAAACCAGTGCTACTTCACAGGAACAACACGACATCTATCCACCAACGGAGGTCTAAGAAATCGGCTCTCGAGCCATCCTCGTCTTCTGTCCAAGTCGCGAATATGGAAACCCGCCGACCCGTATCAGAGCAGCGCTCAAGACCTCTACGCCAGCAATCCACAACCTCATCCGAGAACTCAACCAACCGATCCAAAAGCCGCGGTCATGGCTCCAAACCCTCGTCTAGGCGTACCTCTTGCACCATAGTCGACCCTTCGCGACCAGCGCGCCACTACCGCGTCAAAAGCTTCCAAACCCCACCCACAGCCGACATCGACGACGTGCTAGCCCTCCACTTCCGCAGCTGCAGCATCTTTTCCAACCCCTCCTACCAAACCAACTCTGGCCTCCCTTCCCCCACGCTCTCCCACGGCGACGCGTTCGGCTTCCCCAGCAACACCAGCACCACGCGCTTCAGCACCGACACTCTGCGCGTCGTCCAAGAATCCGACGCGCACAACCACCACCATCGCCCCATCACCGAGCCCGCCCCTCTCCATGACGACGCCACCACCACCACTGCTGCTGCCGCCAAAAAAACAAACACAACCATGCACTGGACATCCCCCTGCACGCGCCAACGCGAATACCAAAGAATCGACAAAGCAAACAGCGGCCTCCGCGGTTTCCTCCGTAGAATAACCCCCAGATGCGTTTCCGGTCCTCAAGAAAAATTCTACACCAAGACAGACGAAGATGCTGGGTCGGTGCGGCGCTATCGCATCAGCAATGATGAAGAGTACGACGAAGATGAGGGCGAAGAGACAGAATACGATTTACAGGCGATGAAAGAGAAACAGCATCAAGGTGTGAGACCGAGGACTAGTCCTGTGCCGAGACCGGGATCGAGACCGGGGATTAGGAAGAGGTGGACGTGCTTTTAGGCGCTTTTTTTGGGTGTGAGGCGGTACGATGATGATGACGATGAGGGAGTTGCATACAGTTCTCTCCTACGAGTGCGCTGTTACTATCTGCTCTTCTTTCTCTAACGCAGCGATGAAGGAGTGCTCGGTGTACCATTGCTCTCGCCTTGTTCTTTTCTTATCTTTTTTTTGCTATTTACAGCAAAATCGAGATGGAGCAAGGCGTATATCTTCTTTTCCTTTTTCTGGGTCGGTTTCTTTCTTTTTTTGTTTTGTTGGAGGCATTTCCTTTTTTCCTTTCTCACAATCACGATACCCACGGCATTTATATGTTTTGCGTGCGAAGTCTTATTGTTTATTATTAGCGGTGGTAGAGAGAGAGAGAGAGAGAGAGAAAGAAGGAGAGAATGAGGGAGAGAGGGGGAAGAAAGCATTATACCAATCTTAACGTACCTAGAACCTAGAAGATGGGGTGGACCGAAATTTTGTAATTTGTAGTTTATTGATCTTTTGTCAAGTAGTTACATATACATGGCACTTTGCACTTCACATCATGACACGCGCGCAAAACCTCATCGACACAGCACAAAGAAAAGCGTAATACGAAAAAAAAACACTCCAAATTTCATATTTGCACATCTCACAACTTATAACTTAGCCTCCTCCTTCACACTCCCAATCTTAAGCTTAGGCGCATACTTCTTCAGCACATGCTCATTATGGTACTATTATCTCCCTGTTAGCTTTCCTCTCTCTCTCTCCAAAAACCAAAAGCGTCCACACCTCCACTCCTTCTCCCTTCTCTCTCTCTCTCTCCCTCCCCCCCCCCGGAAAGAAAAAAAAAGAGTGATACGTAAAAACATACCTTCCAAAACTGCTTACTAGCATCCTTCCCACCCACCCTCTTCAGAATCTTAGAACCACCAGGATGCTCTTCGACAAACTCATCCATCTTATACACATCCCCATCGATGATAATGTACAAGCCCGTCTCCACCGTGTTGTGCTCGGCAACTTGCTTCGTAGTCAGGGATTCAGACATCGTGATTTCTTGTGTATGCGCGCGTGTGCGTGTACGTGCGCGTTCTCGGGTTAAATCGGTCGCGAGGGCGAGAGGTTAGGGATTATGGTACTGATAAGCTGGTAACGTTTATATATATATATATACGTGAATGTGCGCGTTTTCGTGGGAGCTGGTGGGAATAACGAAGAAGGCACGGAGGGGAGAACAAGGTCCGGGGTTAACGTCTTATGGAGCGAGGTTGGGGGCAAGGGAAAGTTGGGGCGGTATGATGTGGAGATGTTTTGTCCATGTGCCGAGGTTGAATCGAGGTACCCGCCAAGACTCCCCGGGGTCGACGAGTAAGCTATTTTGTGCATGTTGTGATTGGTTTGGGCTAAACTACTGTATTTGGGCTTTCCTGTAACGTTGTATTGTGCCATTTTTGCGACATGTTGGTTTTCAGGCACGTGGGCAATGGTGCAATATCTGACAAAAGAAACAGGTGAGGCTACGCTGAAAGCACGTCATTCCCCTGGTACCCCTGCTACATGTTTATCAAACCGGCTTATCTGCCTATCTGTCGTGATGGGGCTTGGGCAAAGAGCATGTCCATCTCGACAACTTCATTGACCTCAATCTATCCATTGGAAGGATAATAGAGGTACGTGTGGGACATGGGAATCACTATATCGTCTCTAGTAGACCTAACTCCAATATCTTTGTAAGGGGAAAGGAATCGCAATGTAGTCCAGTTCATCGGCAGCGCGGTCCGCGTAGCTTAGAAACAGGGAGAAGGAAAGGTAACACAACGCCAACGCCCACGGCCTATGCTGGTGGGAATCCTCACCAACACCATTCCCAATCTTTTCCACGGAAGGTGATGTACCTTGCACCCTGTCACAGAACTCAATAAGGACTGTTGACAATGTCATTGCGACCGAGATAGCTTCCTCGCACTCCACTCCTCCTTGCAGCCCCAACACGACTTGGTGTTGCGATACTCTCCCTCGTTGGTCGCTGCAGTGCCCTCTTCGCAACCATATCAACCTCGTTTGGTAGTGCAACGATCAAATTCTTATCGGAGCCGAACTTAAAGTTGTCGGCCTTCACCTCTTCAGAGTAGCGCTTAATGTTGTACGGATCCTTGCGATTGGCAAGAACCTTCTTGAGGCTCCAGGTAACGATAAAGGGACCAGTAGCCGTGATGATGGTGGTTTCTTTTTCGTCAAGACCCGTGTTGAAGCGTGCAGTGGTGAAGGATATTGGAAGTTTGGTTTCATGCTGGAATTGGGCGACGTGTGCGGGTGTGAGTGCGAGACGTCGGGGTTGTGGTTTATCATCTTTAGCGAATGACTTTTCAAAACCAAGTTTGCCGTCGTTCTTGCCGCCTTTCTGAAGCGCATCGATGAGAAGAAGGTAGGTTCGTGTAGTAGCGAGTACCCAACGACCATCTGCAGAGACATCCATGCCAATAATTGGATCTCCTAACGCGGGTATAAGAGTCTTTGCGTTGATACCAAGCCTGTCAAACAGACGGATATCTCCCTTCTCTGACGCTACAGCAATGTGACCCTTGGCGGTAGTCGCGGCCGCAGAGAACGCATTCTTGGTGGCGTATTGTTTCAGCTGATCATCAACAAGCTTGTTGCCAGCCAAGCGAGGGTCTACACGGTAGAGGGCGTTGTCGGAAAGACCCAAGAAGGTTTGCTCGCCACTCATTTGAGCGAATTTCTGTATGCTGTTAGTTCACGATGCAATGTTTGAAAATCATGATTATACATACGTTTTCTGGTGCAAAGACCTTGACCGGAATGTCGTCGTGCACCTTCCATTCGTCCACAACAGTGCCAGTCTCAAGGTCCATCCGGTAGAGGTTGTTCGGGTTCTCCAAATTTTGCAGAATCATATCCCGATCCTGCTGATGAAGCATGACCTTGTGGGGATTAAAAGCCTTGCCCTTTGGAGTTTTGATGTTTGAAATAGTGGTGGAGAATTGCAGCTGATTGTCGGGAGTGTGCTTGAAAACACCTATCTTGTCGCCTCGCACAACGAACGACCTGTCATGCTTGTAGCCTACAGCCAACTGTGAATTCTCGTCTCCGTCCTTGGGGCGAGTCTCGACGTCGTCCTCAGACTCGTCTAAGTCGTAGTGTTCACTACGCTGGTCGTTGGTATCTTCCTCTTCCTCTTCATATTCTTCCTCTTCTACCTCCTCCTCCTCCTCTTCTGGAACATCCTCCATGGTCAAATCCTGGAATGCTTCCAGAACGTACTCGCGATCAGTGTCCTTTGCTTTGCCCCATTTCATCTTGTTCAAGTGCTCCCAAAGTGCTTGCATGACACCCTGCTGTACATTCTCGAGTTCTTCTTGTTCGTTGAATTTTAGAAGCCATGAGTATGCAGAGCCGTCTTCTAGGTAGTGATTGAAGATGAACGACTTGTATTCATAGTTGAAAACCGGGTTGATATCCTCCACAATGGGCTGTCCAAGCCACTCCCGCTCCTCACCAACAATGTGTAACCAGTAGTTCCAGTCGCCGATCTCCGTCACAGTAACATTGACCTTGGGATCCTGTCTAATGAACGTGCCCGAGGGGAAATCAAAGAGGTGAAGCTCGGCATCGCCCTCAACCAAGGTTTCGAGAGCCTGTGGCTGCGCGGCAGATGGTGGAGCGGCGGTGGCATCTTCCTGCTCCAGAACAGCGGCCTTGCCAGCAACCTTTTTCTTCATGTTTTCCTTTGTAGTGTTAGGGAAGAGGTCTTCGGTGGTTGGGGGCTCGATCGGTCGGACGAAGGTGGTTGAGCTCGTAGGGCTAGCAAGAGGGCTTGCGTCAGGAATGGGCTCTTCGTAGTAGGCGAGTGCAGCAAGGTCGTCTTCAGTCGCGTGTTCGTGACTCCGCCTGAACTTTCTCTCGTACTGGCACTGCAGGGCAACACGCTCAAAGAGGGCAGCAGTTTCTGGTTTGACTGAAGGATCGCAGACAAACTCCCAGAGGTCGTCAACGTCTCCACTCAGGTCGCGCCAGGCAAAGATCTTCTCGCCGGTGGAGCGTACGTCGTCGCGCAAGCGGAGGTCCTCGTCAAGCAGGAAAGTTTTCTCGTCCTTGTCTCCAGCTAGCGCATCTAACGCTGCGTCCTCGTCCTCCTCGGCAAGCAGGTCCTCTTCACCCTCCTCGTATGCGCGCTGGACAACGAGCTGGTACTGGAACTCTTGTCCCGTGCGGCGGATGGTGGCAGCGGCGTCTTTGAAGATAAGCTCCGAATAGCCCTTGACAGAGCGAGGCCGAACAAGATAAAGTTGGCCCTGGGGGATTTCGACGATGGTTTCCTTGGAATTATCACCAAAGACAAGTTTACCCACTGGTGTTACAAAGTTAGTGTCGTCGCAGCAACGGCGGGGGAGGGGCATGCGTAGGTGAGAGCAAGAAGCAAGCAAACAAAGCGGCACTCACGGTTTCGGAGCATAAACATGGCGAGGACGCGGTGTGGCTATACGATGACGAGCTGAGCTGGTCGTGAACTCTAGGAAAACTGCGCGTCAAAGCCCATCCAAGAAAAAGCGACAGGCGCGGGCTACAAGGCAGAGGCATGCAATCATCACGACAGCAAGGGTCCGGTATGCAATCGCTCGCTTAAGCAACGTCATGCTGGCCTAGCGGCAGGCAGCAAGCACTCCCCACCACCCAAGCCAAGTACCACGGACATGTGTCTTGCCAAGCACCATCGTACGTAGGTGTAGAGCCAGTAAAGCACTGGTGCCAATCATTTTAACTATTCCTTTCATGCCCTCTGTACGCCGATCCGTCCGTCTTCCTAGAAAATACACTTTCATAGCGTCTATCCAACCGCTTCTGCAAAACTATACAAAAAAGATTATTTCGTCACTTTTTTTGACCGTTAGCTAAACATAGGAACAAGGAAAAACAAAAAAAGAGGCCAGGGATGATGCGATTGCCATCGCCCGCTCCATCCCGAGTGGCCGCCTTTAAGCCTATTTGGGTATCATGAATCGCCTTTGCTTGCCAATACATCCTCCCCCCGCACATGTTCTCTCACGGCGACTTTTGCGCGCCCCATACGATGCTCTCCATGAGAGCATATGGAGAAGAGTCCAGCTCCAAACCGAGCAGTGGAGACTGGGAAAACATGTTTTCATTGTCGTTACTAAGTGCGTTGTTGATGTCTTGCGCCGTAAAGACGTGCATGGTGGGTGATGCTTGCGAGCCAGTCTCGCTGGTCTTGCGTGTGTGCGTTGATGTGATACTGAGCAGCCGCTCAAGCGCCGAGACAGATCTTGTAATAGGCGTCGCGAGCTCAGCAGGGTCGACATCCTTGGTAACATCCGTGAGGACTTGTATCACGTTCTGCAAAAGACCTCGTGCGCGTTCATTGCGATTATGCTCACCGAGAATTCCAAGCAAAAGGGCTGAGCTGAGAGAGCGGTGCACAGCAGACCACGATCGTGTTGCAAAGGGCGTCATGTTTTGGAGGCCGAGAAACGCCTCAACAGTATTGGTCAGACTGTCGATGCATGTCTTGCGCAGTGTCTTCGAAAGGTCAAAATTGGCTGTGGCTGGACTGATGGCTGGTCGACACAGCTCCGAGGTGACATATGAAATGTGGAGATACAATGCCCAGTGCTCCAGTTGATCTCGCATAGACCGGCATCTTCTCGAATCTTTCAGATAGTCTGCTGCGTCTATCATGATTTCTTGAAGCTCGTTCCGGTGCTCGGTGATCCTCATCAAAGCATCGTGCGAGTTTTGTGGTCGTTGACGCTCACGCACAATATCAAGACCTACTTTGCACAAGCGATACATGCTCTCGACATATGTTCTTGTTCCTGGTGCCGTGTGCTGGCTCATTGGTACCGTGTGGTCGATGGTAGTGGTTGACGAAGCCCTGTCGTATGAGACTGAAAGTAGCGAGTCTTGCCAAAGTAGTGCCCACCACACCTTGCTCCGAATGACCTTCTGTTGCACTGGCGTTGATGGTGGGCATTGTCGGTGTAATCCTAGTGTCTGGGAAAGGCGAACAGTCAAGCCCATCAGGCTCCAAGCGACCCCAGCGTTCATGTTGTTCGAGATGACGTTTCCAAGGATAAGGAGGGTTTGTATGTTTTCGATGTTCGCATGTGACAGAAAGTTGGTGAAGCGTAAGCACTCGAAGCTGCAGCACACATAGACCTGCGAGGTCAGCTCCCGTTCTCTCCTTGTAAGGCTGGAACATTGACATCCTGATGCCAATATCGCAAAAACAAGACCGATCCAGTGGAAGTCTTTGCCGTGGATCTGCTGGTCGGTTACGCCGTTGTTACCCTGTGAACTTGCGCGGTTGATCAAGAAGAGTAAGAGATCGGATTCGATGGCTTCAATATCGGCCACGGCGGGATAGACTACGTGTGCGGTTTCGCGATAACTCCGGAAGAAACCCAGACATTCAGAGTCGCTCGGTAAGGCGTTGGCTAGCTCTTGAGCGCGTAGTATCGATCCGTGAGGCAGCCCCCATAAATCGACAAACGGATATGTAGCGCTCTCATTGTCCAGCCCAAATATTGGCAGCATGCTTTTCTTGCCTAACAAATCCTGCACTCCCGGCGCCCATTGCGTGTCCCCCCTTCCCAAAGCCATGACGAGAGCCGGGACTGAGCTGGGCCCGATGTGTATTGTTTGGCCAGTGATGTCGTTGCGCGTGTGTATCCCTTGCGTTCGAACGTGGCTTTGTTCGCCATCCATGGGCGCGGCAGCAGCTAAGGGTGTGTTTCCGGATCCATCTCCCGGAGAGAAGCCATTCACTGGTGGCGGTATTTCTGCGACACTGCCTACGGCATTCTTCAGGTCGTTGAGCGACTTCTCAGCCTGCTGCAGTTTGCCGCAAATGCGCTCCCAATCCTACCACGGTCAGTCTGCGTCTCATTCCCCTTTGTACTCGTGTGCGCACCTCTCGTGGCAGTGTGACGGTACCGCCATGTATATGAACCAGGCCGTTGGAAAAATCATGTCCGTTGCTCTGTCCGACGGCGAGGTTTATCCGTTTCGCAGGCGGGTGCGACTCGCTGGGCGGGTGGTAGGTACATAGTTCAGGATGTTCGCGAACAACACACGTCTTGCATGGCACGTTTTGGTCGCATTTGACCTTGCGTTGTCGACACGGATAACAAGCCTGTAGAAGAATCAAGAGTCAGCGCATCTCCGTGGGGCCGTGACTCCTAACAGGCCAGAATGCGCCGGGTCGTATAGCCCAATTCGGTAAACCAGAGAGGCCGTCTGCTTGCAACTCCCGGTGCTAACATCTAGCAGCCATCGCGACCTCCTCTTTTCCATATCTCTCGCTCTTCCATGCGCTCCACTCCTACACTCTGCACTGCACACGACGCATCCGAATAGCGTACCTTGTATTCTCTCGCTTTCCGCTTCCGTCTCAAGATCTCATCCACGTCAGCTCGTGGCGGCGTGTCTTGCATACTAAATCCATTTGGCGCATGTGGATTGTGCTGGTCTTTGAGCTCGTCCATGGTCGAAGCTCGGGGGAAAGTCGTGGGAAGTCAAGATGGGCCGGATAGGCGCGCTTGGTGGAGTGTTGTTCGCTCGGGCTTTCCGCTCGCTGAAGCCCCACTCCGGTAACTTCAGGATCGCCGGCTGGCATCCGGCACAGCCAGTCACACGACTTCATGCTGGCTCGCACCCAAATCTCCCTCGACAAGATCCTCATTATCACACCTGTATATGACATCACTGCACCCCAAGATCCACGCGTCAATATTATAGATTTTGCTAGCCCATGATTCAATGTGTCGATTTTCACTCACATTTTTACCACCTCTCGCCCAAGGGGCGTAACGCGCATATAGGAACGAAGATAACGATTGAGTATGGATGATTATTGAATGCTAAATACATACAAAGAGGATTGTATTCGATACAATCCGTACAAACGCCATGCAATGCAACATAGAAATAGGTATTTCCCACAACCAAAACACTACTCGCGCCAAACAATGCATCATGTCGTCACGTGACGTATCTGCACCACTTTTTTGATCGCCACTTACACAACCTGCTTCTCGGCCTTGTTCTCGGCCTCCTCACTATATGCGTAGTGCGAGTGAGCCCGGATCCTTGCGCCGTAAAAGTAAAACACAAAGGGGATTGCACAGCAAGCAAGACCGATGAAAGCGATCAAAGAACTTGCCCATTGGTCTCCAAGGCGGTCGTACATCTGATTTGTGAATAGAACGACCGCGGCGCCCCAAAAGCTACGCAGGAATGTTTTGGCAGCCAGCGCAGAAGCTGCCTGGTGCTGGTACGAATCGACTAGATAGTTGTTTGCCGCATTGTAAAGGAAGATGAAGCCAAAACCGACCGCTCCACCGCCAAATGCAGGGCCAGCCCAGTGGAGATCTTTGTAGCTGGTCCATGCGAAGATGAAGACACCAATCGGAATAAACCAGCATGAGCACATCATGGGAATCAAACGTACTTCCGCCGGTGGGCGACCGTTGTACTTCTCTGAGAGCTTGAGGTAATGCTTGTTGACGAGGGGCGCGCATGCAGCGGAGAGGAAAACACCACAGATGAGTGGAATGAACATTAGGCCAGTCGGTCCTGCGCCCCAACCTTTGCCTTTTTGATAGACAATAGGATAGGCGACAAAGAACATGTACAAAAGACCGTACAGTACGGACATGTACAAGGAGATCAAGAAGACGATGAGTTCGCGGAAGAGCAACTGGAATGGTCGCAGGAGGAACAGCTGGAGGCGCTGGCTGAAAGGTCGCATATCGAGGTCTTGTTCCGTGACGTACTTATCGTCACCAGTTTCCTTGCGCATCTTTTTTGCCCTATTCGCGAGAATCTTGGGCGCATACGTCTCTGGAACCGTGAATGAGATCAAGATCCATACGATACCGCTAAGGATGAGCTGAATCCAGTAGAGCCAGCGCCAGCCACCGGCTGCACCGAGGTAGCCACCAACTAGGGGACCAACCCCCGGTCCACAAAAAGGAGCTGCTGAGAATACAGCCATGGGCACACCTCTCTCTTCTGACCTCCACATATCCGCCAATGTGCCGCCCACAAGTGTCATGGGCGCCGAGAAAGCCACGCCGGCAATAAACCGAGTTACCAACAAAGTACCAATGTTCTTTGCGACGGCACCAGGAATCGTGAAGATGACGGCGACTGCAAGTGTAACAGTGTAAACCGGCCTCCTGCCCCAGATCTCGGATGCAGGCGCAAAAGCCATAGGACCAACACCAAATCCCACGACGAAAAGCGAAATGGTGAGAAGAGCCACTTCTTCGCTGACTCCAAACTCGGCACTCACACCTTCGAGGTCGGCCGTGATGACCGCAGAGTTGAATGCCACGACGAAACATGTTAAAGCGACACACATTGTGCACCACCACTTGAACGCCTTGCTCCAGTTCTTGGGGTTCTCCTTGTCATCCACGACGAACGTGACCAAATCGTACTTTTCCACCTTGCCGGCATTGGATCGCACTTCTCGGACCATCTGTCCCGAGACTGTTTCTTGTGTGTATTCTTCGAGAGCGGCATTGTTGGATAGGATACGTGTGGGGAGGTTGACGAGATCTTCGGCTGTTGGGGCTCGGTGGAGGGGTTCGACGGTTGTTCTTTCGGAGGCGGCATCGTTGTCGTTATAGGGAGAGTGTGAGGGAGCATCAGCAAAGTCCCTTGATGCTGGGAATCGTATGCCTTCTGCAGCCATGATGGGTGTATTTGGAGGACCACTCGAGGGTCCTGTACCGAAGAATTCGATTCGAAATATGAAAGATACCCAAAAGATAAAAGATCAAAGTGTTTGATATATCTTCAGTCTAATTCCAAGGTGCTCGAAAAAGAGATGCTAGGAAACCTCTTGGAAATCTACTGATGTAAAAAACCCAAATCCCCCGTTCTCTCCCTCCCTCCATATATACTTATTTCTAGTTCTTCATCAGCAAATGAAAACCCTTTCCTACTTTCTTCGTACGATCTCATTGACACATGCACTCACACGTTCCCAAACGGCCGGATATCTCTCGGGACTTGGCACCTCTAATCGCCTCGTCAGACATACGTTCGCTTCCGATAGTATGTACACTGACCGCGGAGGCGGCCAGCTGCATTGCTTATCCGCTCATGCACTATTCCCGTTTAGGTATAGTAAACGGATGACATTGCACACCGTTGATTTCCCGAGAGATATCCGAGCAGAAGGGAGGTTACTTTTATCGAAGACCTGTTTATTTGAGGAGTTTTTTTTCGTTAGCCAATATGTACGATAGCGCGAGGCTTTTTTTTCAAAATGTTTGGGGATGCAAAATTTTGTTATTCAGGGGGTAAACTTGGGAGAGTGATGGGGAGCTAGGGCTGGGTTGCTGGAGAAGGAAATAGATGGGCGATGATAGAATGATGATGGTTGTGATAGCGATGCAAATAGGATGACCTTTGACGTCAATTTTGCTGTTTATTTCACAGTGATATAACTGCAGGTTCTCTCTGCTCATGAGGATAATGACGATATTCGATGCTTGGTGGTAATGTCCTCTTGGCCTATGTTGGTGTTAGAAGGGGTGGTGTGATGGATCTACGTGGCGCAAGGGGGCTTATCATGGGTTCTTGAACACGAGACAGATATCTAGCGGGAAGGAAACATCCGCTCGCTCTACTAGAAAAGTCGTCACATCTATAGCATCAAGGTACTTGCTCCACGTCATTCCTGCTATTAGGAATGTTCGCCTAGGCTGTCGATAGCGCTGCGTAGTCGGGGCAAGGCCTGTTCACTGTTAGGGAACTGTCATGATAGCGCTTGTTTCCTCTTTGCGTTTTACTGGTCTAGACAAATCGAGTAGAATGTCGGGTCAAGTAAGCTATGCTCTATGCCAAATATAGACATCAGTTGGCAGTGAGCTCTTGGTTTCTTAACGATAAGAAAGTCTATTTATTACCTGTAGCAATCTACATACATCAAATCGACTTAGATTTATTAGAAAACATAACTCGTCAAGCGAACAATATACTTATAGTGATATAAACATAGCGCGACTTATTCGCACCATTCAGGTAAAACTAGCTCTTAACCTTCAAGCCATTAAAGTCTCAAGAACAACTGGCCCACTCATATACTGGTGCGAGGAAACATCTATCCACTTTGCCGCCGAACACATGGACAGCCCAGAATAAATATTCTCTTAGGAAATTCCTTGTGTGAATTTGATACACGCGCTTTGCACCACGTAAGTACTCAAATTATATTGCATAAGACCCGCAACTTACATTACCGATTTTACGTTCGCAAATACCGCCACCATAAATCGTTACGGTAGAGTAATCGCGATCGTATCTATCATCCCATAAATCAAGTGTTCTATTTGAAAGTGCAAGCATACTCGCTACATCAGCCACCAAGTGCTACAAACATAATCCGTCGGATAGAAGAAGAAAAAGAACTCAAAGATAAATAGCAAGGTAGAGATGTACAGACAACAAAGCAAATCAAAAACCCGCCATATATCACAGTCAAATAGAAAGTAGAAACGATTCCCGCAATCCCCATAAAGCAAAAATTATAGCAATCTTCCCATTAACCAACCCAACTCAAATTGAGGGTTTTTTTGCCGTCTCAATCTCAAACTTCAATCAAGCTTTCCCCTGCAGCACAAAACGTCATATTCTATAATACCACCGAAACAAGGACACCCCCCATCAAACCACTTCCACTTTATCTCGACATCTCTCTGCATCTTATCCAGTAGCAGATCTTTACCAATCTAAACACCTTTTTAATACCTACCACACAGTCTCAAAGCCTTGCACTGTTTCCTTAAATCTAAAATGCAAAAGCTTGATATCTGATGTATGCGAAACAAACAGTACCAAGATTTCCCCCAAGCTTATCTTATGGTATAAGCAAAAAAAAAAGTACCGAAGGAGAGTATATATGGCGCACCAGAACGATGTAGGCATACAAACACCAAACAAGCCTTCAAAATAATAATGATAATAATCGCGTATTGGATATAAACTACTGCAACTAATTCCACCTCCAAAAAAAGGCAAAATACACTAACCAACCTACGCACCCTGACCCCCCCCCCCCAAAAAAAAACTCACCTTCCCGTTTCGCACCCTTCTCTACTCCTTACCCACAAACACGGTACTCTCATCCACCTCACTGGGCTGCACAACCTGCCTACCCTTCCACTCCTTCATCAACCCACCCATTCTTTTGCGAATCCCATACTGCATCCAAAGCGGCATTCCCCTGAGCCTGGGGAGGACCCCCCACACAGTCTCTGGCAGCACAACATGGCCACTCTTTCCACTCAGCACGGCTTTAACAATCGACTCAGCCACCGTCTCCGGGTACAGCGCGCCGGTCGGGTCGAAGCCCTCAAAAAGGGCTGTGCGCGTGTAGCCCTGGCAGACGACCACGGTGCGGACTTTGGGGGCCTTGTAGATGTTTAGGAGTTCGGCGGAGAGGCCTTCGTGGAAGGTGAGGGCGGCGGCTTTGGAGGAGCAGTAGTCGACCATGTTGGGGGCGGGGATGTAGGCGGCGATGGAGGCGACGGTGACAATCATGCCGTGGTTGATGCTGATCATGTGGGGTAGGAATTGCTGCGCGAGGTAGTAGTGGCTCATCGAGTTGACGCGGAAGGTGAGGTTGATGTCTTTTTCCGTGGTGTCGAGGATGTTTTTGCCGCGGGCGACGCCGGCGTTGTTGATGAGGACCGTGGGGTTGCCGAGGGCGGCGCGGATAGCAGACGCGGTTTCTGCAATGGCTTTGGGCGAGCAGAGGTCGCATTTGAAGAAGCTGACGGATGGAGGAGCTGAGGGTTGTTAGTATCACACATCTTCTTCCTCCTCCTTGCAATTGAAGTTCAAGAAACTGATAGATACGTCAGACATACCTTCATACGTCAAGTCCTGAACATCCAGCACAGCAACTTTAATCCCCTTCTCAGCAAGCAGCTGCACAACAATCTTGCCAATTCCATCGCTTCCACCTGTCACAACGACAACCTCGCGATTCCAGTCATACTTATCGCTAGTCCAATTGTTGATGACGCGGTTGCTCAGCCAAGTACTGACCGTATTGAACAATCCGAGGCCAAGCAGCGTCTTCAAGTGCTTGAACACATTAGAGTGCTGAGATGCAAGCGAACTGCCCTGCTGCGTGTAGCGTGCGAGCAAAAAGACTGGCAATGTAAGTGCAGGATTAAAGGCCGTTAGCTTGAGCAGGTTGACCAAGGTGTCGCGCGTGATTCCTGAATAACCATGTCAATCGATATGTTTCAACGGCTACTTAGTCTAGCGGCCGAACGTCTTCATGACACGTACCCTCGCGTGCAAGGCTCCACTCGCTTCGAATTGGCATTGTGGCTGGCTTTTGGATGACACAAGATGGCTTGACTGGTAGGGGAAAAAAAAAGGAGAAAGTATGTAGTAAAACTGCGCTGATCGCAGCGACCTTGAGCGTCTTACATGGCGTCGGTGCGCCTTAAATTGCCCTTTGCCTAGTATGGGAGGGAGCAGCTCGAGTTCTCTTGGCTACGGTGGAAAGGAGCAGCTCGAATTGCTTCGCAAAGGGGGGAAGGAAGCGGGGTCGACTAAAACAGGGCTAACGCGTCTTGAGCTGAAGGGACAGCCGAGGAAGTCGATCCGACGTACAGCCGACCAAGACGCATGTGTCGCCAACATTGACAGTTCAGTTGGGTACGAGGTCTCCAAATTACGGCTAACGATTTCAGGATGAAGTTGAAGAATGATCATTATCTGCCGTATTCTCAAGCTCCGGATATAACCTACAATCACTAGACGTACACATCCGCTCAAAACAATACTGGTATAAAACTTGACCATCCAAAATCCAGATATCCAAACACAAGGAAAAATCATTCAAAGGGTAATAATGCGTAACATGCCAAGCGCCAAATCCAAAAAGTCCATACGCATGCAATGATAGGATGACAAAGGAAAAGAAAATCATAACAAAAAAATCATCTGCCACAGACCTAGAACGTGCTACTTCCCGGCTTCTCGTAGTCCATGATGGTGCTTTCAGGTGGAGCAACACTAGTGACGCGGCTGATCCGACTTCCCCTCGAATCCGGACGATTAATGGACATGGCACCGCTCGCCACCCTCGCCATCTTCTTGGTCCTCGACCCTTGTACTAATACTTGGGCGGGACACACCACAATCTCGTCCTCACCCTCGCCAAAATCGTCGCCCTTCTTGACGACTAGAGGGAACAGTACAACCTTGACAATTGCACCGCGTGCTTGGAGTTCGTCATTCGATGTCGTCTCGCCTGATCGTTCGTTCATGAGCGAGGCGTTGAACGTGACCTTCGCAACGAGGTCACCGTTGGTGTCGTACTCTGGCTGCAATGGCGGCAGCATAATGTACTCTGCGCGCTGGGTGCGCATCTCAATCGACAGGTCAACAGCTAAGCGCATGACGTTGCGCAGAGACTCTTGAATCTGCTTTTGCATATTTGAAGGCGGTGGAAGAAGCGTCGTGAGCGTGCTATAAATCTCATGTACAACAGCCTCCGTGTCTTGAGCGCGCTGCTTCACAAATGGCTCCCTCCTCGAGAGCAGGGTAAGTGTGATAGCTCGCCATTGGGCTACAGCACGTGGTGGGCCAACTTCTGACAGGGTCTTCTCCAGCCCCTTGAGCTTCTGTCGCTGTTCTCTGTCCATACCAAAGAGGTACCTGGTGAACACGTACTCCCAGATCATAGTCATGGTAACCGACATGAAGACATCTCGTCGCCTGACACGATCTGAAAGCAGTGCGTCGACATCCGAACCATCTAGGACGGCATTGTCTAGACGGGTGTCGATCTTCTTACGAGTCGCCTGGTCCAATCTGGTATCGGCCTGAATCTCCGACGATAGACGACATGCGCGAGTGTCGGAGAACTTGGAGAATCGCAGCACCCACTGCTGCACATGCTGGCACAACTGCTGACATGCGCTGTCAAAGTAATCCTCATCGCGAACAGTGAGGAAGCTCTCGCTGGGCTTCTTGGCAGCCAGAATCTCCTTTTGCAGAGTCTTGATTTCTTCGCGTGCGGCATCCAGCTCTGCCGTCAGGCGATCAATCTCAGCCTTGCGCTGGTCAAGCGCCTCCCCAATTTCGTCGCGGACTGCTTCCGCCAACCCTTCCTGCATTCTGGTGTGCTGCAGGCGGAGCTGTTCCAATTCTCGTTGCGAGGTTTGCCATTGCTCGTGAACCATCTGCCCTTCAGATTGAAGGTTTCCATACTTTTCATTAGCTTCGTTGATCAAGGCCTGCTTTTCGGCCTCTATTTGTGCGTATCGGGCATTGGCCTCTTCAATGAGACTGCGGTTTTCTTCTTGAAGCTGGGCGTACCGCGTGTTGGCATCGTTGGTGAGATTGCGATTAGCTTCTGTCAGTGAGTTGTTGAGTTCTTTTAGACGTGCAATCTCTTCCTGCAGTCGCTTGAGCGTATCTTTGAGTTGCGCAATGTCAATGTCCCTCTTGTAAATCTCACGGTCACGTGCTTCAATCTCTTCTTGTACCACCTGCTCGTCAACTTGGCGCTGGTTTTGAGTAGCCTGTAGGGTTTCTTCGGCCTTTGCCCGGGAAAACTCAAGTAATGAATTTTGTGCCGCAAGCTGTTCAAGCTGCGTCTGCAAATCCAGGATCTGCATACTTTGTCGTTTGCGCACGCTTGGTGGGCGCGAGGGCGATACGGACGAGCCCTGAGCCTCGCCCCATGCTTCCTAGAGATGACAGTTAGCAATTGAAACAGCAGGTGCATCGGCATCAAGAAAACTTACAAAGGTTTCCGCCATGCTAGACCGGTGGCGAACTTTGCCTTCACCACGGACCGGGTCGTAGTTGGGCGCGCCTGCGATGACTGCTGTGGTCCCAGCCGCATCAGTGCTCGGGAGGGTGGGTTGCGCATTCTTAGCGTCCTGCGCACTGGCCTCGCCAAGTCTTGAAGCTGACCTCAGATCACCTGACGTTTGTCGATCCATCCGTCGCAGAGAGTGCGAGGAATGGCTGCTCAAAGCGCTTGACGGACGTTCATAATCTGGGGACTTGAGTCTCGCAATGTTGCCCACAGAACGTTGGCTTTGCACACTGGCTGAACGCTGCTGACCAACGGACTTCATTGTGTCTGCGCTCGGAGAGGAGCGAGGCATCCGGCGTGCAGGGCTGAGAGCTGTTGCACGATCGACGGCGTCGCTGGTTCTGCGCCTTGACGAGCCCCTTGATGAGGCCCTTGAAGGCGTCACTCTGCCAGTCATATATTCTGGCGGAGGTACACTTGTGGGCCCTCCAGGGGCTGAAGAGTGCGGCGAAGGTGATCTGAGGCGATCAGAGAGCATCCTTAGACTCTCCTTGCGACGAGCTGACTTGAGTGCTCGCTCTGTCTGACCTACGTCACTCCAGGATCGTGAACCCTTGCGCATGGCAGAATCATCTGGACTGGTTTCCGTAATTGACGCCAAAGGTGTGTTGCCGGACGTGTTTTCAGGCTTGGTCGTTGGCATCGCAGGCGGCGCACTAACCTCAGCCTTCTTCTCGTTGGGATCACCGAAAATTGATTTGTATGGCTCTTTCTGGATGACCTCCTTTGGAGGCGACATCTGTCTAAGCTGTGAATCACTTCGTAATTTCTTGGCTGCCCGCAACGACCCCTTGCCATTTGTCGGAGTGTCGTCAATCACCCTTTCGTTGTCGTGAGCGGGTGTATACGATGGAACTGCACGTGTGTCTGTTGGTGTTTTTGGCTCTGTCGAACGCTGCTTGCCTTTTTCAACTTGCTCTTCCTTTGATTCCTCCATAGGTGATGGCGATGCTGTCCTTTCAGCCGCAAATTTAGTCTTTTCTGAAGACTCCGACTTGTGAAGACGCTTCTCGTTTGGCTGCTCTTCATCAAAAGATACCGGGTGTGTTCTGCGTTTGTGGTCCTCCTGAACTTGTGTTACTGTGTCCCCCAAACCCTGCTCAACCTTCTCTTTTCCCTTCGTGCTCTTCTTTCCTTTCTTATCCGAAGACGGGGCCCATGCATTCATATCCCGTTCTTTCTCCAACTCCTTCTTATGCGACTCTTCCATCGAAGGCTGTACCGCATCCTTCTCCGACTCAAGTTTTGGGAATGGGTACTCTTGAAGCTCTCCCATAGCCAATGAACGTGGGTTTTGGTCAAATGCGATTGGCAGGCCTGGAGTGTCCTCCTTGTTTTGCTCTTCCTGGATCTTCGACGCATCAGAAGCTTCGGTGGTCGCCATCGGCAAAGACTGGTCATGCTTAGCTTCGCGAACGGTGGAGTCAGCCGAAGTCTCAACAGCAAGAGACCCATGGGGGAGGGCCTCAATCGCCGGAGTTCTTGCGGCTGCATACTCAACACTGTCCTGCGGAAGCAAAGCATCTTCCTTGTCCTTCCTTGACTTCTTGCCTCGTTTTGTTGAAGCTTCTTCTTGCACGTCGGCTGGAGTGGCTTCTGGGGGCGATTCTGGCAAAGGCTTGCGTTTCTTGTTGCCCTTGTTCCTCCTGAGAGAGGAATAACCAGCCAGTTCATCGGGATCGACTTCCTCAAGTACACCGGGGGGTGACTTTCGTGCCGAGAAAATCGGGTCGTTGAGAACATCTAGGGGGTCAAAAGAGACCGCAGGTGCAGATCCCATGGCCACTTCAATTGGCGGTAGCACCTCAGGCTCGGCGGGTCGAGTTGGCCGCATTCTTGGCGAACCAGAGGCAGATGAAGGGCGACTCAAGCTTCCAAGTCGGGATCTGCTAGCCCTCTCCCTTGCGGCAAACACATCGTCATCTGGATTGATGTCGTGGTTGCTTGAGATAGAGTTTGAACGATGGAACGATCTGTCGTTGATCACGAATCCAGGATCAAAGCCAGACTCTCGCAGACCAGCAGCGACGGTAGCTGCAAAGTCAATCTCTCTTGCTGGTGACTTCGAGTCCGATCTCCCTGGTGATCCTAGACCCAGTTGACTGCGGGAGATGACTCGAGACAAATGCCGTTTCTCGGGAGATGGAGGTCGCTTCTCAGGTGATACAGACCGCTTCTCGGGTTCAAAAGGATTCTTGACGGGAGATCGAGGACGCTTTTCGGGAGAAGGAGGCAAGATGGGAGTTATGGATCGAGCCTGAGTCTCGTATTGCTCAGCGAGGTTCTTCACGCTCCCAGCTGCTCCCTTGCGTAGGCCTTTCCCAACGGCTGGGCCTCCCTGTGATTGTCCACTCTCGAAAAGTGCGGCTAGCTTGTGCTTCTTGGATGGCTTCTTTTGGAGTGTCGGCGGCTGCGCTCCTTCTGGTATCTGAGCAGGGACGGGAGCGAGTGCGGCTGGTGGAGTAATCGTTCTGGATACTGGCTCAGGTACTGGTGTTACAGCGCTCTCAGCGGACTCTGACTTTTCTTCCTGCTTCTTAGTCTTCTCCAGAGTAACCTCGGCCTCAGGTATTGTCTCAGTCTCAGCTGCGGGAGCTCGTGGTTCGATATCTAATGGTGCCTCACGCTGAACGTTTTCAACGGTCGATGAAAGGTGTGTCTGTGGAGTGTTTTCGGCTACAGGACGTGTCGTGATCTTGTCTTTGTCCTCGCTCTCTGGCTTGCTCTCGCTGGATTCCGGAAGAAAGGAAGTAGTCGGCTCTAGCTCAGTAACTAGTAGCGGAGGCGCTGTCTTTGTCACACTCGGTTCGTGAGCCTCCGATAGTGGTGCCTGCTTGACGATTTCAGGCTCGGCTGCAGCAACGGGATGGAAAGGCTTCTTCGATTCAGGCGCTGGTGCTGGGCCGACCGAGCTGCTCGTCTCGGGCAGAACCGACGAAACGTCCTCCACAGCCTCTGTCGTCTTAGCTTTCTTGTCTTTCTTTTCCCGCTTCTTCGATGGCGTTGACGGCTCTTCGACTGCCGTTTCTTGGCCACTCTTTTCGACAGTTGGAAGAGCCTCAGAAGCAGTAGGCAAGTTCTCGACTGGCTGTTGAGCAGCTGGCTCGGACAACTCCCGTGTTTCTTCCACAACAGGTTCTTGAACGGCTTCCCTAGTCTCACTCTTAGGCGCTTGAACAACCGGCTCTGCAACCACATCCTCCTTAGCTCTCGCAATCTCCTCAATCACAGGCGCAGGAGCAGGCTTCTCAACAACCGCTTCCTTCGTCTCAACCGCAGCATCAAATTGAGCTGCAGGAGTCGTCGGAGTAGAGTCGGAGATGCGCTTGCTCTTCTTCGCTTTCTTATCCTTCCTCAGTTTACTTAGCATACTGAGGATAGGAGAGGACTGGGTGGGAGAGGGACTTTCAGGCTTTTCATCTGAAGTAAGCTTGGTGCTAGATGCTTCAGATCGAAGGTCAAGGATGGCTTTGGTGGATGGGGAGGGCTCAGTTGTTGGGTGGGTGGCCTCTTCAGTGGACTTCTTGGCTTCGTCGCGTTGAGTGAAAGGCTCGGGAGCTTGACTGACAACATCGGGGGTGTTGTCTTCCATTGGGATATCGATAATACCGAGACCTGGTACGGTCGTGGGTCGCTCCACAATTGGCTCTGCTGGAGCAGTAGTCTGAACGTTGTCAGCCGCAGTGGCTAGGGCCTGCGTCTCCTGTAGAGTTTCTGTAGTCGTCTCTTCGGTCTTGGGCAGCTCTAGTCCAACTTGCCGATAAAACTCTTCAGTCATTGGCACAGCACCTGCTTCTCGCGATACCTCACTGTCAATAACTCCAGGCGCTACAGGCTTTAGTGGAACAACCGGCTCAACACTCGGCTGGCTTTCGGCTTGCTCAACAGGATTTTGAGAAATGACAGTGGTCTCCCGAGTTTCCTTGACTGGATCGGGAGCTTCAATCAGCGGAGTGCTATCAGCCGAAGAGATACTCTTCTTGCCCTTCTTCTTTTTGTCTTTCTTTGATTTCTTAGGCGAAGAAGATTCAGATACGATTTCTCTCTCAGTTGTCGATGGAATAGGAACTGATTCAGCTTCCGCAGATGGCACGATAGGCTCGACAATAGTCTCTTCGGCGGGGATGACACTTGGAGCAGGTTCTTGAATGAGGGATTGCTGCACAGAATCGGATACTGCTGGTGCTGTAGATTGATCCAAAACCTCAAGATCAACATCAGTGCGTAACTGGGCATCTTCTAAAGGAGTACTCTCTGGCAATGCAGGAAACTCTACCTCATTCGATGGCACCGGTTCTTCGGGGTGTTCGCGCTGTATTGGGATTTCAGTAACGGCAGGAAGAGGCTGCTCTGGCTCGACTACAGTCTCCTTAACATAGTTGTCTGACTCTGGAATAGTACTGATCTGATCCTGAGGAGTGATAGATAGCTGCGACTGTGACTCTGCGGTCTCTGGCCCAAATTCCAATACCTTTGGTGCTTGTGTCTGCTCGGGAAGGGTCGAAGGTACGGCAGCAGAGTCGTCAACTACATCAAGAGCAACGGGCTCAGTCTTGTTCTTCTTGTCTTTCTTAGCCTTCTTCGACTTCTTGGGGGAGAGAACCGTTGCATCTTCCCAGTCGATATCTTGAGATTGAGCTTCAACGGGCCCTGCACTTGATTCTTCGATGGCATGCTCAGACACATTCTGCGTCACTTCAGGTGCGGGAAGAGGACCTTGGACTGAAGATGGCTCCGGTAGAGGCGTTTGCTGAACAGATTCAGTCAAAGTTGGCTCGACGACACTGGGAAGTACAGAGGACTCGACCGCAGGCGTAGCAATTGGTTCGACCGTAGTCTCGCTCTCAACGACAGGCTCAGCACTGAGAGCAGCCGCCTGCTTCTGAGCCTTTTTCTTTTCCTTCTTTCTCAGCTTGCGGTCGAGAACGGGCTCCTCCACAACAACGTCTTCCTTGGTCTCCTCAGCAGGTACCGGCTCTTCGTTCCGGGCTGGTACCGAGATTTGTTCGTTGGGGACTTGCTCTGGAATAGGGACGAGCACTGGATCAGGCTCCTCAGGCGCGACAACAGCCTCTGGACGGGCTTCAATCTCTCGAGCATTGGACTGATCTTCGACGGTAGCTACCACAGGGTCTTGCAAATTGGTAATGGGAGCGGGAACATCGTCCACAGTTGGCGTGGCGATGATAGCAGATTCGGTCTCAGGTAGAGCTTCGACGATTGGTGTCTCGATTTCCGACTTCTTTGCCTCCTTCTTGTCCTCCTTGGAGGCCGAAGGCGAAAGGAGTTGTTCAACAATGATAGGTTCAGCATCTTCTGCAGGTGGAATAGTAGCTTGTTCAGGCTCGATCTGACGTTGCTTCTGGACGGTAACCTCCTGCTGAGGGATGACGTTGGATGCATCGCCACTCATGGAATCCTTGATCGGGCTGCTTACAGATGACTCCTCTGCGACGGGAACTTCTTGTGGCAGGTCTGCTGACACATTGTCGACTTGTGCCACTTCAGTTGGTTGTTCGATGATGGGTTCCGGCACAATGTCAGTTTCCCTGGCAGGCTCAGTCGCAACGGGCGGTTCCTCTTCTTGCACAAGCTCCGTAACACTCTCTTCCTCAGGCAGAGGCACAGAAGCTGCCTCTTGAACGACTGCCTTGTCATCAGACTTGGTAGGCTCAGCCTCAGGAACGTCGTTTTCCAACGCCTTCGCCTTCTTAGCTTTCTTCTTGTCCTTTTTGGAAAGCGACGCAGCGTCCAGAGGGATCTCAGGCTCTGCAACTGGGACTGGAAGTGGCTCAGCTTCGGTCGCGATTTCAGACGCGATTTCGGGCGCAAGCTCGGAGGGGAGCGTTTGAATGGGCTGATCACCAGTCGCTCCAGCCGGTACATCAACCACACGCTCTTCCAGCAAAGGCGTCTCCAAAACAACTTGTGCAGACTCGGCTGTCGTATCTGGCGTAGGCTCCGACTGCTCAGTCTTTGGTGCTTCAACGATATCCTCAATAGTTGGAACGTGAACTTGGTCCTCCGTCTTCTCTTGAACATCTGGGACAACCTCAGCAAGTGCCGCAACCTCAGCCTGCTTCTTAGCCTTCTTAGCCTTTTTCTTGTCTTTCTTCGAAAGCGTTGGCGTCACAGGCTCTTCTGGCTGCTCGAGCACAACCTCTCTGGACTCCGTCTGCACGGCATCCTCGGTAATTGGCGTTGAGGGTCGAACCGTTTCGTCAAGTGTTGCGGAAGGTTGCTCCTGTTCAACTGGTGCGTGCTGAACATCAGAGGAGGACTCAGCAGGCATGAAGATCACGGGTTGAACATCCTCGACTTTCTGGGCCTGCTCAGGCAAGATCTCTTGAGCCTCAGGGATAGCCTCAACATGTGTCTCACTCTGAGCCTGCTGCTTAGCCTTCTTGTTCTTCTTCTTGCTCTTCTTGGGAGAACTTGGCTCTTCGACAACGGGTTCTGATGATAGCTGAGCTTCGGAGAGAATGGGGTCGGATGGGACTGCAATGTCAATGTTGCGATCAATGATTTCCGGTGCAGCAGTCTCGGGCTGCTTCACTGCATCCGCCGGGACTTCGGGCTCGGACTGTTGAATGACGACATCGCTCTCAGTACGTGCGACATCCTCCATAGGCTTCACATCCTTAGCGGGCAAAGGCTGCTGTTCAGATTCTGGGACCTTCGTTTCCGGTACCAGTTCATCAACGCCAATATCGCGTTCACTCTTCTTGTCTTGGTCCATCTCTTCCGATGAGTTGAGCACCTCGTCCTTGACTTCAGCTACTGTGTCAATTGGCTGTGCTACAGGCAATGCAATGGTCTCTTCCAAAGCTTCCTTGGTTTCCTCCTCAACCTGGGGAGTTTCTGGTAGAGCAGGCAAATCTTCGATAGACACGACAGTGGGTTCGTCCTGAGAGGCTACAGTAGAAGCGGCTGGCACGACCTCTGTGGTTGGCATTGGCTCAGTGAGGGGAGGTTCAGGCGCAGTGCTAATGTAAGGCACTTCAGATGCTGGCTGTTCAACAACCGGTTCTTGTCTCTCATCCTCAATCTTCTTCTCCTCAGCCACCAGCTCAACATCACGGGTCGTGGTCTCTTCTGGCGGTGTCGATACAGCGGCTTGTTCACCATCCAACGACTCTTTCTCCACCTCTTTCACGTCCTCTACACCCTTCTCCACTACCTCCTCTTTCAAAACCTCTGGTTCTTGCTTGGCATTTTCGATAGCAACGTCGTTCTCCTTCTCTTCCCGCTCCTCCCGTACGACACCTTCCACAACATCCTCACTCTTCTCTACTTCTCCACGTGCCTCCTGCACATCATCTTCCTTCTTCACATCATCACTACTATCAACAAGCTCGTTCGCAAAAGTTTGGGGATATGGGGGCGGTATCCCCGAGAAAGGTAGTTGTTGAGTCTCCGAAAGTGTAGGGATCGACAGAGACGACTGAGTATCAGAGTTGGCTGCCTCAGTCGTCTCATCCGCTAAAAAAGACTCGCTCTTTTTAGCTTGCTTCTTCGCCTTCTTCTTGTCCTTGTTCGATAGAGGGGCAGGGTCGTCAGGCTCTTTGTCAGGTGGTTTAACATCGTCTATGGTTTCATCAGGAATCGGATCGGTGGTCTTTTCTTCGGCTGAAGATGGACCGCTTGTTGGCTCATCGACTGTAGTTGGGGGCTGGAGCTGTTCTTGTGCTAGCTTTGCCTCAACAGCGGACTCATCTACTACCGGCAGGGTAGTAGACTGTTCAGCAGCAGAAGGCTCCTTCAATGCCTGATCGGTACTGGCTTCCGGTTGAGCCGGCTCGCTCTCAGCGATAGAGGCACGTTTTGCCTTCTTCAGTTTCTTCTTTGCCGTCTTTGACAGGTTTGCCCATTCAACTGGCTCAGCCTCCTCATCCTCTTTGGCCTGCGTCGAGGGGGTTGCGATACCGGAGTCAATCTGAGTAGGGAGTTTGGATGCAGTTTCGGGATGAGAGATTGAACTTGTCGGTTGCTCCTGCTCTACTACAGCGTCTGCTTCTTTGGCGACGATTGGCTCTTTGTCTTTGTTGTCGGGATCGGCGGAGGCCACTGGAACAACTGGAGCACTGGTATCACGTTCCAAGGTCTCATCAGCAGATTGCGGTGGTAGGCTAGGCAATTCTGCAGAGGTTTGCTCGTACGATGGTGCTACAACAGCAGGGTCCTCTTGAGTATGCGGTGGCACAGGCTGTGCATCCTTCGAAGTGACATCTTTGATCTCCTCAACTGGCTGTTCGGTGATGACTGAAGGCTCAGAAGGCTCAGACTCGGCCGCCAAAGCAAGCTTGGCAGCCTTCTTTGCCTTCTTCTTGTCTTTCTTACTCATCGGGGTAGTGTCCTCTACAGCTTGCTCGACAGGCTCCTTTGCCACTGGGGTAACAGTTGAGGGCTCCTCAGAAGGAGTCAGAGTGACGTCTGATTTCCCAGTCTCGGGTACAGCAACGAATGTGACCGGCTCTGAGGCAACGGATGGTACATCTTTAGTCTCTTCTGCAATCTTCTGGGTAGTCTCATCGACTGGAGTAGAGGAAGATGGCTCAATTCCTGCAATAGATTCGCGCTTTGCCTTCTTAGCTGCCTTCTTCTTCTCTTTCTTTGACATGGGAGAAGTAGGCTCTTCAAGAGGTTCTTGGGTGGTAGATTCCTGCTCGGTTGTAGGCTCGTTGATAATCGCAGGTTCCAAAGCCCCAAGGCCAGAAAGAGACGTCTTCTCTACAGCCGGTGTACCGGGAACAGATGCAGGAAGTTCAATGGTGGTAGCGATATCGAGTTCAGCGGGTGCGCTTGATCGGTCCTGGGACTCGCTAGCTTCCTCTGGCACATCGGTAGTTATCTCTGGCTTCTTCTGCTCCACATCATGGGATTCAGTCTCGGGTTGCACAACAACCGCGGCCTCGGTCTCAGCCTGGGGCGCAAGATCTCTGCTAGCAGTATCGATGGGTGCAGACTCCAAAGCCGTAGTCTCAGGAACAGAATCCTGAGTCGCAACTGCCTCGCTCTCAAGCTCAGCCTTCTTAGCTTTCTTAGCCTTCTTCTTCTCTTTCTTCGAGAGAGGAGCTGTAGCTTCCTCGGCAACCTGTTCTGTGACCAAGTCACGAGAAACAGGTCCAGCCTCTACCAGTTCAGTAGCTTCTTGCGGTTGCTGTTCAGCCTCGATGGCGATTGGCAAAATTTGTTCTGGAACGACATCTTTGTTTGACTTGTCGAGGGGCTCAAAAGTAGCAGGCTCAGATACTGCTTCCTGGACGATTGGCTCTTCAGTCGAAGCGACACTGGGTTGAGGAGCGTCTACGTTTTCTGAAGGGGTCGTTGCCGGTTCGATGACAGGAGGTTGAGTCGAAGAGATCGACTCGCTCTTTTTATCTTTCCTCTTCTTTTTGCCCTTCTTCGGAGTGGTGGGGACATCGTCAACATCAACTGAGGCCTCGAGCTTGGGTGAATCGGGGAGTGGTACAGCAACAGGTGCGTCAGCCTCTAGCGGAATTTCGGATGAAACAGACTCTGGCTGAAGGCCAGCTTCTGCGGATGGCTCTTCCTGTGAGGTAGGTTGCTCTTTAGCAGACTCAAGGGTTGCCTTCTCATTCGTCTCGTTCTCAATTGGAGTATCGTTAAAAAGACCACTTCCCGCAGGGAGAGAAGGCTGCTCGACCTGAACGTCCCGGACACCCTCTGCCTCCTTGTCTTTCTCAGAGCTTTCAACCTCAACAAGCTTCTTGTCTTGAGCAGGTCCAAAAGCGTTATCGAACTGCGGCATAGGCTCCTCAGTAACCGGTGTGCTTGGCTCGGTGGTAAAGTCTACGGATTTCCCCTTCTTGCCCTTCTTCTTTTTGCTCTTCTTCGGCGTTGGTTCAACTGGCTCAGCCTCAACAACCGGCGTGTCTGGTACAGCGGGGACAAAGATATTTTGGCTAGACTCTACTTGAGTGTTAGGGGTAGTGATATTAGCTTCTTCTAGGTCCTTGTCATCAGATTCAGGAAGAGCAACGAGCTCAGCGGGGGCTATGGTAGGCTCCACCTTGGCAGTATCCTCTTGTTCCAGTAGCTCAAGCTCTTCAAGATCCTTGTCATCACTTTCAGGAAGTGCCACGAACTCGGCATCAGGCGAGGTAACCTCCGTCTTGCCAGTCTCAACTTGCTCCGTAGCCACAGATTCCTCTAGATCCTTATCATCGACGTCGGGGAGGACTACGAACTCGGCAGCAGGTGTCACGGGTTCCTTGGCAATTTCAACCTGCTCCTTCTCAACTGGCTCCTCCAAGTCTTTGTCGTCGGTTGCAGGAAGTGCTACAAGTTCAGCAGCGGGCGCACTAGATTCCTCCTTGACAGCCTCGACCTTCTCTTCCCTCGTAGGTTCATCCAAATCTTTATCGTCGGTCTCAGGAAGAGCTACTAGCTCGGCGGCAGGTGTAACAGCCTCGATCTCGGCAGACAATGCCTCCTTTTGAGCCGTAGTATCTTGAACTAGCTGGACATCAACAACCGGCGTATCTCGAGCAGCTTCGATAGAAGTCTGAGGTTCAGTCTTGAAATTAGATACTTCCTCAGTAAGGGAAGATCCTAAATCAACAGACTTGTCTTTCTTGGCGCTCTTCTTCTTCTTAGATTTCTTCGATGGCGTTGCGGGCTCTTCTTCCAGTGGTGTGGCAGGTTGTGCAAGCTCCTCGTTGGGTCCGACGGGGCCAAAGACTGGCTCCTCAATGACGGTCTCGGCTGGTGCTGTCGTTGTGGCGGATGGCTCTTGAGTATCAGAGACAACGGGTTCTGAGATGACTTCGAAAGCAGGCTCAACGTATGCGGGTTCGGTGATAGGCTCGAGCTCGCGAGTTGCTTCAACAGTAGGCGTGGCAGGCACATCTTCTTCAGCTTTGCTCTTCTTGCTCTTCTTCTTCTTGGACTTCTTCGAAGGCGTAGAAGGTTCCTCTGGTACTGAGGCGGCCTGCTGTGAAGGCGTGGAGACGAGCTCAGTTGTAGCCGGAGCACCGATGTGAACGGGCAATGGCTGAACGTCCTGGCTTGGTACATCTCGCACGGATACTGTGTTGTCGATAGACTGCTCTGGGATGAATTGCTCCGCTTTTTGTTCAGTGGAAGGAACGTCACGCTCGGTTTTAGTTGAATCGACAGGAACAGCATCCTCAACACGAACCTCCCGCTCTTCCAAAGGCGCATAAAGCTCATCATCAGCTTTATCCTCGGGCAAAGGAATAACCGCAGCATCAAGGCTCTTGTCCTCTTGAGATGGCTTGACCACATCCGGCACGCGCTCTTCGATATCACGAGATTGGCCAATCTTAATGCTTTCGACAGGCTCGGCAATTGGTGCAGAAGGCTCGACTGCAGGGATGACAGAATCAGGTACGACATCAGTCTCAAGCTGAGGTGTGATTAGACCGCTTTTGCGCTTGTTCTTCTTGCTCTTCTTGGCCTTTGGGGTAGCAACGGGTTCAGTCTCGACGACGACTGCTTCGGCGGGTGCTGTCTCGGGTTGCGGCTCTTGAGCGGGCAGAGTAACTTCACTTGTCTGTGTCTGAGGCGGCTCGACGAGTTCCTCGTCCGCTTGTTGTTCGGGAAGAGGGATACTGACGGGATCCACCTCCGTAACCTCAGGGACGACCCTGTCCATTTGCGTCTCCAGTGGTAGAGTGAGCTCGTCATCCACCTCCTGCGCTGGAAGAGGGACGCTGGCTGCATCTATCTCTGAAGGTCCTGGGAGTTGCACTTCAGTAGTTGAGAGTTGTGCATCGCGAGACACCTCGGCGATCTCAGAAGGGATAACGATAGAAGGTTCAGCTTCGAGTGCAGGTGTCGAAACACCGCTCTTCTTGCCTTTTTTGCTCTTCTTCTCCTTCTTCGTCTTGACTGGCAATTCAGGGACAGAAGATGGCTTCGCGGGCTCTGAAACTACTGCATCCTGATCTTTCGTGGGGGCTTCTTCGACAGGCAAATTCGATGGGAGTTCCGAGGTGAGGGTTTCAGTAGTCGGTTTTGGCTCATCAACAGCTGGGATCACGTTGACGAAAGGCTCGGGAGCGGGTTCGCTGACAGGAATTTCTAGTGACCGTTCCGTAGTAGGCGTAGGGGCTTCAACAATGGACGATGTTTCAGCCTCCTTAGCCTCTTGCTCTGCCTTCTTGGCCTTCTTGCTCTTCTTGGTTTTCTTGACCTTCTTCTCGCTCTCTGCGGGTAGAGATTCGCGTGAGACTGGTTCTTCAGAGGGAGCTTCAGCTGCAGGTTCAGTCAAGATGCTACGCTCGCTGGGCTTAGCAGGTGATGGAGGGAGCGAGAAAGAGGGCTTCCCGTCATCAGTGAAAAAGGCATTCTGCGGTGGGACGAATACAGGGGGCTCTTGAGTCTTCTCCTCGGTGGCTGGAGCAGGGACATCCTCCTTGATTTCCGCTTTCTGCTCTTGAAGCGTACTATCTTGATCAGGCGTGGTTCTCTCTTCCGTAGCTCTCGCCACCGTCGTCGGGAAACTGAATGCTGGCTTCCCACTATCAGTGAAGAAGCTGGTCTCTGGCGGAACGAACACAGGGGCAGCAGGTTCTTCCTTCGCAATCGTTTCTGTCTTCTCGGAGACAACAGGCTCAGACTTCTCATCAGCTGCAGAAGGGGCCGCAACGGGAGGCAAAACGTCCTTAACCTCCTCCATCTTACCCTGGACACCCTCGACATCCGCTTCCGGTGCAATCTCGACCGCCTTCTTCTCGCCCACCGGCACAGTTGGCGAAAGAGGGCCTGACGACTTGCGCCTCTTTTCCTCCCTCGCAGCAGCCAGGGCAGCAAGAACTGATGATTGCGGTTTCGGCGACGAAGGAGGCGAAGAAGATGCAAGTGAAGCTGGAGCCTTTTTCTTGCTGCCGCCCCAGCCAATCTTACCCCATAGACTGGATCCCCAGCCAGAGTTTGATGCCGATGAATGGCCTTCGATTGTAGAGGCGCGACGAGACTCCTCTACGAATGCCTTTGGTGTTTCGGTTGTCTCGGCAGTACTGGGTCGCTCTTGGACTTGTGGTTGAGCTGGGCGGCCGAGAGGCTTCAGTGGAACCTCAGGCTTGGGTTCGTTGTCAAGGGGCGCTGGAGTGGTGGTCTCCGATATAGTAGACTTTTCCTTTGGGTCAACATCCTCGAAAGTGGATTGGGCAGTTTCGCGTTCAATTGTGTCGTGCTGGGGCTCTGGAGGGGCTACAATGTTCTCTGTTTGAACTGTTGCTTCGGGTAGGGATGGCTCTTTCTCTTCGACTTTGGGCTGAGCTGGGACATCCGGTGATTCAGACTTTTCTGGCGTGTCAACATTTTCGAAAGCAGGTTGTAGAATCTCCCGTTCAATCACATCCCTTGGCCGCTGCGACGATGTCAAGCTCTTCTCTTCCTCTTGAACAGGAGTTCCGGGTAGAGAAGATGGCTCAGACTCGGGCTCGACAACTTGTTGGCTACCGCGCTTACCTTTCTTGCTCTTCTTTTCCTTCCTTGTCTTCTTAGGCTTTGGGGTGATGGCTGCGGCATCTTCTTCAACAATCGGCTCGGGAACTGCAACATCAGCGGCGACAAGTTCGCGATTCGCCAGCGGAGTCTTGGGAGTATCAGGAGCAACTTCACTGGGCACGTCCTGCTGCAGATTTGGCTTCTCAAAAGGCTCAATCTCCTTAAATGCGGCGACTTGAGGCTCGTCGAAAGTCGCACGCCTGATCTCTGGATCTTGGTCTTGCTGCGGCGCGGTGCTGTCCAGAATCTTTTGTCGAAATCGCTCCTTGTCGTCGAACGAGCTAGTAGAAGGTTCACCGATAAGCGTAGCATTGTCTGTCACAACAGACTCAGAGGGATCCCTGTTCCAATCATCCTCGTTGTCGATGAACGATGGCGTGTACTGTGAGTTTCCTGAGTCAACTAGAGTAGAAACTGTAGACTCTGCAATAGATCCCCTTTTGGCGTACTTGCCCTGCTTCTGCTTGCCTTTGCCCTTGACATCCGGCTCGTCTGCAGCTTCTCGACTAGATTGGGATTCAGGCTGCTTGCCTTGGGCAACTGTTTGAACCTTTTCAGCCACATCATTGGACTTCCTCCCTCTGAGTGAGGCAAAGTGGTCTTTGATTGCTGCAGCGGCAACCCCGGCCACAGCTGCGCCAAGAGCAGCGTCCTGGAGTCTGGATGAAGTCGAAGACGAAGGCTCACCGCGGCTGGTAGAAAAATCACGCATCATTCTATCGTCAAGAGGAGCGCTTTGCTCAAGCGGCGTTGCGAATTCTGGGGAAGTCACTGTTGACATGAAAGCATCATCAGTGGACTCATCCTGCTTCTGTGCCTTGGCCTCCTCAAGCGCTGCAGCGAGAGACTCATAGTTTGGGCCACCAGAGTGCTCCTTTTCGGACGGTTCGCCTGCAAAGTAATCAGAGGCCTTGGGAGTTGCTTGTCCAGACTCTTGTACTTCTTCAATCTCACGGGCTGCAAGTTCTGGGTGTTGAAGTTCTGGGTGTTGAAGTTCTGGGTGTTGAAGTTCTGGGCCGCGTGCAGGTGGGCCAAGATCTGGTATGGTACCCAAAGAATCAAAATATGGGTGGTTGGACAAAAGCCCAGCACGCTCGTGGGGTGATTCCAAGGCAGACTCATACTCTCCATCTGACTCAGCACCAGACACCACTGAAGAAGCGGTACTTGGCGGGAGAGGTGGTAGCACTTCATCAATCTCATCGGGTTTGCGGTTACGTTCTACAAGATATAGTGGTCGGAATTCACGCGAAGACTTGAACTCTGTAGAATGTGACCTGGAATGGCGAGAACGACTTGGAGATGGCTCAGAGAGAGGACTTGTTACCGACTTGGGTTCAGCATGAAGGTCGCGATGAACCGCAGGGGGGCCAGAAGGTTTGCGGAAGCGTAGCGGCACTGCAGTCGAGGACATGCGACGCTTGGCCAAGCTTGCTACTGGACTGACTACCTCTGGCGACCTAGTCGGTGAGCTTGGCCTTGACAGCGGCAAGGGAGGAAGCTCGTCTGGGAACGCTTCGAGTAGCCAGGGCTGAAGTCCAGTAAGACGAGTCAGTAACGCGCGGCTATCTTCAAATGATAGTTCAGGCGGTGTCCTGGGCCGTTCGGTAAGGTCGGAGGCGGTGAGGGGTTGGGCGTCGTCGAACGTTGGGAGACGAATTTCGGCCCGATCTCCAGGGATGATGCCACTACCCTTGGGTACCTGATCTACAGGCTCACCTACGGGCAGTGGACGTGGAGTTGCTGCGGCCACTGCCCGATGGTCTAAAAAAGAATGGCGTTCTTGTTCATCGGCATGCGGGGGCGGGGTTCGAGCGCGGGAACGATCCTATAGCACAGAACATCAACATTCATTCTAAATACATTGCGAACACTCGCGCTATCGCATATAAGAAGAGCGATGTACCTTTTCATCATAGGCATCCGCCCTGTCTCCATCTCTCTCGCTGCGACTGCTTCTGCTCCTCTTTTCGCGGCGGCTAGTACTTGAAATAGTGGAACGTACATCATCATCATCATCCGAACCGTAAGTAGAACCACGATCTGACCGATGTCTCCGTCTCCGGTGCTTGCGCTCTTCATCGTTGTCATCTCTCGACCTGGAAGACTTGCTGGCAGCCTCCGCCAGGTTTTCTCTTGACTTGCTGCTGAAGAGACCCATGAGACCACTTGATCGTTTATCCTTCTCTTTTCGGGAGCTGCGGTCGTCATCCCATCCTGCAAAAGAAGATATCAAGGAAGCAGTGTCATCGTCCTCCCGCCTAGAACGTCTGCGGGAAGATTTGGGCTCGTCGTACAAGTCACCGTGTTCAGACGCTGCTTCTGAGCGAGACCTTGTCTTCCTGTCTGGCGATGAATCCTTCCTCTTATGTCTACGCCTGCGCTCGCCATTGACGTCAGAGCGAGCTTCCGAGTATGTAGATCGCGTGTCCCAATCGTCAGCGCCCTCGTCTGTCTCGCGACGGCGATGTTTTCGCCTTCGTTCTTCGCCTTCGCCCACATCGTAGTCGCGGTCGCGGCTCTTATCGCGACTCTTGTCACGGGTTTCAGATCTGGCTTCACGACGTCTACGGCGTCGCTCTTCCCGGTCGGGATCTTCGTATTTGTAGCTCAGCGAGGCGATCGAACCAATGTCGTCGTCGTCGAAGGAGTTGCGCCGTCTGTAGTCGTCCTCATCGTCAGAACGTCTGATTCTTTCCGCATTTGAGGCGCGCGATTGACTGTCTCTGGTATTGCCATTTGAGCCCGCGAAATAGGATTTGTCAGGCTCCTTCTCAGTGGATTCGGGGTGTGTGAAATCGTCAGGGGCATAGTAGCCAGAGTCAGCTACACTACGGGAAGTTGTAGGATCGGATGTGCTTGTAAATGGAGCTGCAGTAGGCACTTTTGGCGCTTCAATAAGTGGCTGATACTTGGAACCATCAGAGTTGTTGCGAGCACCCATATAGTCTTCTTGTTTCATCTCTGTCCTCAGAGGCGATCCAACTGATGGTGACCACTTGCCGCTGCTGCTGCTCCTTTTCTCGCTCCTACGTTTAGGCGTCTTGTCGGCCAATTCATCCACTCCCCCGAATGCGTAGCTGGGAATGGTAACATTCTTTGCAGGATCTTCAGGAGCATGGTTGCTGTTGGATGAAGACGAGTGCGAGTCACGGGATGAGGGCTTCTCTGCTGACTCCAGGTTACGCCTGGCACGTTCGGATTCGGAAGCCATCCTGTCTCGGTCTTGAGATATAGCAGTGCCTACCAGAGCAGCAAAACCACCGGCCAAGGCAGCGGTGGAAACCTTGGCACTGCTACCCTCATCGCTGCGAGATGCACTTTTTGATGGTTGATAGTCTTGGCCACGGTCAGCTGTCCGTGACGACTCGCCAGAGTGGGATGGCTCGACAGTTCTTGGTGACTCGACAGCTCTTGATGGCTCGATATCTCGAGGGTCACGTTCGAGGATAGGGCTTGTCGGTGGACTAGGTTCGTCCAACTCCCAAGTATCAACGCTGATTCGCTTCGAAGATTTGGAGGACTTCTTCTTCTTCTTCTTTTCCTTGTCTTTCTCCTTGTCCTTCTTGCTCGACTTGGTGTCTGATTCAACCCCTTTCCCTTTTGACAACTTAGAAACCACGGAAGGCTCTGGCTCAACCTGCCGAGGGACATCCTGCAAAACTACATTCGAGTCAGTACTCTTACCCTTCGTGTCCTTCTTCGCTGCAGCTGCGAAACTCTCCATCGTAGGTGTCGGTGGCTCGGACTCTTCTGCCTCCTCAAAACTGCCCGGAATATGCAACGGCACAGGGTCGTCCGGAATCTCGCCCTCGACAAAACCAGGCCCTACAGTCCTCCTATCAGGCATCATGCGCATGTCGTACGCTGGCTCAGGTTGATAGTACGCCGTCTGTACACTGCTTGTCGATGGCGCAGCTGAGATGATTGATGGAGCCGAGATGGCTGACGGAGCTGAGATGAGTGATGCAGCAATTGTGGAAGGTGCCATATTCGTGTCAGAAAATGGGTTACTCAGGAGTGATGCATTGATGCGCTTGTAGTCGTACTCATCCTGTTGATTCTGCGGTGGGGGCGGTGGGGGTGCCGAGACGTTCGAAACAGCAGATCCAGAGGCAGAATTCGATGGAGTATTCTCATTCCTCTCACTCGCCTTCGAAGAGGCAGAGGCACTCACGACACTATCCCAAGTTGAGCTGTTATCATCGCTGACGTATTGTGTGCTTGGAGTGGTCTCCTTCGACTCGCTGGACGAAGGGGTGCCTGGTTGATAAGGTATGTATGTGGACGTAGGTATTTCGCGTTCTACAGTGATCTGATCAGACGAGTAGTTTGGCTGCTGCCTCTTGAGATCGCCATCAGAGACAAATTGTTCGCGGAAAGACTCGGGGGTAGGCACATCAAAGTGGTGGAATTGGTTCTCCCCCCAGCTGACCCTAGACCTTGCGCGGTTCGAGTCTTCTTGCCTGTAATCGTCTCTCGTATCCCTGGTAGGTTCCCTAGTTGGGGCGGGAGAAGGCGACACACTACGCACAGATGGCGCGCGACTACCTGGGGGTGTAGGCATAGTAAGGCTTAGTACTGGTATCGGTAGCGGCTGTTGCTTGGTCGGTCGTCCATCTCTCGTAGCAGTGAAAGAGTAAGAAGGTGGGTATGGAGGCAAGATTGGCTGGCCGGAAGGAGCATCTTCATGCGCATAGTACATCTGGAGATCGCCAGCACCCTCATTAGGGTCTACAGGTTTAACCTTTGGCAGGTTGTCGTCAGCCAAGAGCTCTCGGGGAGCAAAGAATTCGGCTTGGGACACGGGTTTAGCAGAATACCGGTCTTCCCAATCTCGGAGGACCTCGCGGGCATCCTGCCGGGCTGGCTCCTTGAAAAGATCTGGGTTGAAGATGTCTTCATCAAACATGTCTTGCTCAACCCTGCTGGGTTCAATCGTTTTGACACTGGCCGGCTCTCGCTTCTTTCCGCGCTTGGATTCACTGCTCTTCGAAGATGAAGAAGATTGGCGCTTGTGGCTGCGGTCACGCTTTCGCTCGCGCTCCTTTTCCTTCTTCTCCTTCTCCTTCTCTTTGCTCTTGTCTTTGTAGGAGGAGATGGCACCGCCTACAATTGCTGCAGCGGCGCCAGCAGCAACAGCACTAGCAACAGAAGAGGATTTCTTTTCTGGCTTGAGGGCTTCTCGTTCTCTGTCTTTCAGTTCCTTTTCCTTGCGTTGTACGACAGTCGCAGCCGAGGCGATTGAGCCACCTGCAGGTTGTTCCTCCAGCTGTCGGGCCTGAACACTTGGGTATCGATTACTAGAATCTTGTAGCTCACGCCCCCTGCGTCGTTGCTCCAGGTCCTCCTGGATCTCAGCCTCACGTCTCGCAGCATCGATACGCTCTGCCTCTTGTTGTTGAGCCTCACGGCGCTCTCTTCGAACTCGCTCCTCCTCGGCGGCCTCGATAGCAAGCTGACGTTGGTGCTCTAGGAAAGCCAAGCGTTGTTGACGTTCGCGTTCCTCTGCCTCTCGCAGTTGACGTGCTGCCAACTCGTGCTCGTCACGACGACGGTCATTTTCAAGTCTCGCCAAGCGCTCGATCTCCATGAACTTTCGTGCCTCGTCTTGCTGGCGTTGTAATTCGCGACGGCGACGTTCGTCCTCTTCACGTTTCGTCTCCTCTTGGCGAAGCAGAGCTAGACGACGCTCTTCTTCTTCACGCCTTGTTTCTTCTTGGCGAAGTAGAGTCAAACGACGCTCCTCTTCTTCACGCTTTATTTCCTCTTGACGGAGCAGGATCAAACGGCGCTCTTCTTCGCGTCTTGTCTCCTCTTGGCGAAGTAGCGTCAGACGGCGCTCTTCTTCCTCGCGTTTCGACTCCTCTAGATGAAGCAGTGTTAGGCGCCGCTCTTCTTCCGCCTTGCGGGCTTCTTCTTCTTGTCGTTGGTGTTCCCGGCGCACGCGTTCTTCCTCTTCACGACGTGCCGTCTCTAGTCGTCGTGCTTGATCATCCCGGCGTTGCTGCTCTCGGCGGGCAAGTTCCTCTTCTTCCCATCTTGCCTCGTCATCGAGCCGCTGTTGCTCGCGTCGACGTTGAGCCTCCTCTTCAATTCGTTCCTGCTGCTCACGTCTACGTTGAGCCTCTTCTTCGATTCGCTCCTGCTGTCTGCGTCGCTCACGCATTTCCTTTTCGGTCTGTGCTTGTGTCAAATCGAAACGCACATTGCTGGATGCACTGGGTGGACGATCGGATTTTAATGCAGAGATTGCAGCAGCTCCAGCTGTGGCTGCAAGTCCTGCAATAGCGGCATCTCGCCTCCATGAAGACGTCTGGATGGGTGAAGAGTTTGCTCGGCGAAGAGGAGGCTGTTGCGGGAATTGATTGTTGTTGTTGTTAATGATGATGTTCTGGGCTTGAGGCTGCGGTGGCACTTGCGAAAAGACTGGAGGACCCGTAGGGGCATTGTAACTAGCCGGTGGTGGTGCTTGGGTGGTATAGACGGTTCCGTGGACTTGATGCATGGGCTGGGGCTGCTGAAGGCTTACAGAACCAGGCCCCGAGGTGACTAAAGGCTGCGATGTCGCGATAGAGCTTGTACGTCGTGCATCGAAGAATGCATTAGGGTCGTGAGGCGCAACAGGATATACTGACTGCAGCGTCTGCGCACTGCTCGACTGACTATCAGGACGCGCTTGAGTCGCCCCAATAGCTGCTACGCCTGCTGCAGCACCCACAGCACCAGCTGCGGCAGGTGCAATGAGCGAGGTATTGGCGATATTGTCATAGAGGTTGTTGGATGATCTCCTCTTCTTCTTGCCGAATCCCCAACGCCAACCCCATTTGTTGGTACCCGAGCCGTTGGAGTCCATAGAATCATTACTCTTGGATTTCCTCAGTACATGTTCACCGTAGACAAGACCGCCATCACTTGCAGAGTCAGAGGGGCCATCATCTGGCAGGTCCTCCCACTCATCATCTCCGAAACGTGAACCAGTGCGAGAAGACTGGCTATCCCTGAGGGTTTTGCGGTTTTCCTTGACGACGCTAACGTCACGACTGCGTTTTCCTTTGCCAGCCTTTGCTGCTGTGATGGCTGCTGCAGTAGCACCAAGACCAATGAGAGAAGCTTTGAGTCGCTCGTCCGAGTTGCGCCTCTTTGGTGACGGACGTCTGCTGTGAGACGATCGCCTCCGTCTCCTCACATAGCCGGTGCCAAAGGCCATATCCGAGTCGGTTGAAGATGTTGAAGCGTTGGTGAAGTTGAAAAAGCCGCCCTTCTTTTTCTTAAGACTAGCCGGCTTCACACGTTTCTCCTTTGGTGGAGGAGCTGCGAAGAAGCCTTGGAAGAAGCCGCCTTCATGTTCGTGGTTTTGGCCAATCTCAATGACGGACGCTCCAGAAGTCGAGCTCCGGGATACCTTGTGTCGGAGTTGTTGAGATCTTCTACTTCGGTCATCATCGTTGCTATCTCGGCGGGGATGCACAACTTGAACCCTCTTAGGTGACTTGGAGCGGGCGTGACGCTTCTTGCTTGCGGAAGCTCCCAAAGCAGCTCCCGCAAGACCTGCACCAATAGCAGCACCAATCAGGCCAGACTTGCCATTGTCAGAACTGGAACTGGAGCTTGCTCTGGAATGTCGGCGACTCTTGTGGGCCTTGCGGTCCTTCCTGTCACTCGTAACACCTACAGACATGTTGGACATGCGATCACCAGATCGACTCCTGTGGCGAACACCTGCATAACCGTAGCTATAGCCCTTGCGATCAAGGGATCGGCTACTGCTGCGACGTGACACACGCGAGCGTCCAGACTTGATGCTGTAGGTATCGTCGAAATCGTCCCGAGCATTGTTCCATACAGCCTTTCCAGCTTTGGCAAGGCCGAGGCCTCCCAGTCCTGCAGCCATCCAACCTGCAGCGCTGTTGCTCGTCTTACGTCTTTCCTCACCCGAAATAGAGTTTTGTGACCTCTTCTCCTTCAAGTTGTAACGAGATTGCTTTTCAATGCCTCCTGAAGGCCGCATGAATTCGTTGGAACGTCGTTTGTAGTAGTGGTGCTTTCGAGGGGCATCGAGAACGGAGGAACGCGGGTCAAAACATCCTTTACAGACACCAATGTACTCGGTGTACTCCTCCATCTTCTGCACATCCTCATAGTCCTTCCACCAATCCACGAACCGGGAAACGGGACCGGTATGCTGGTGATGCTGGGCCATGCCGCCCGAGACGTAGGCACTTGGTAAAAGGCCGTTGTTTTGGTGACCATTGGAAGCGCCAGAAGCCGAGTGATGTTGTGAGGTGCCATGCGAATGTGAATGTGTATGAGTGTGTGAATGGGAGTGTTCGTGCGTGCTTGAATTGTGTTGATGCATAGTATATGCCGCTAGCCCCGCAGCCCCAGCAGCAAGGAGTCCAGCGTTGCTGCCAGACGAGTGTTTTTCGGGCTTACTTGGTCGCGGAGGCTTGGGTGGAGGAATGTCATCGTTGGCATGAGCGGCTGCGGGGTATGACGGAAGATGGTTGCCATTGCTGGCGTTAGCATTAGAGGTATTAGGGCCGTTTCCATACATGTTATAAGTAGATGCAGGGGCAGCAGGGGCAGTATTAGTGTATGACGAGAATGATGAAGGGGGACGAACATTCGACGAGCTGCTGTAGCTTGCCGAGTGCTCATGACTAGAAGAACTATGGCCAGCGGCATATCCAAAGGCAGCAGCACTGGCCATTGAAGCAGCTGTACCAAAGGTGCCTGGCTTGTCAGGTCTCGACGACGACGCCGGCCGGGGCGGCTTCGGCGGGGCAGGTGTGTCGTCGACGAAGGCACCAGGCATGGATGAGCTCAACGGCCGTGGAGGCCTGGATGAAGAGGTGCTAGGGCCTTGGGCATAGAAGTCTGCAGCCGCGCCCGAGCCGGTGTCGGCAACGGGGTTGGGCTGGGCAGAAGCAGACATGAGATGAGGTGTATCCTGGCCGACAATGACAGATGGGGGCTGGGGCCTCACGCCGGGCTGTTGACCAACAGACTGGCCCTGATCGTTGTAGAATTCGGCAGCCGCGCCAAAGGGATGGCCGCCAGGCATTGCACTAGAGGCATAGTTTACAGGATCCTGGCCGGGGAACTGGCTCTGCACGTGATCTGAATAGTGGTGGCCTTGTTGTTGTTGTTGTTGTTGGTTTTGGTATTGTGATGATGATGATGATGATTGGGGGCCATTGGTTCCCACGGGGAGAGCGCCCGACATCATGGGCGCTCCTGCCTGGCCGGGGAAGCGCGAAAGGCCGTCGCTGCCCATCTGTTCGCTGTAGCTGCGTTGGAGTGACTTGGGACTGTCAACAATGTCGCCCCGGTAGCCGCCCGTCTGCGTCACGCTAGCCGACTGCTCTGAGCGCGTCGAGCGGCGCTTGTCTGACTTGCTATCCTTTGACTTTTTCTTCTTGTCTCTGTCGTCGCGCATGGTGGATGTTGAAGACTCTGCGTAGCTGCTGCGGCGGTCGTCGCGACGCCTGTCGTAGTCGCTGTTTGGGTCAGTGTTTGGTGCAGCCCGTGAGCGCGGAATGTCGTCAAATGCAGTGGTGAAGGAGGCCGTCGACGAGGGCGCAGTGTCGCGTCGAGAGACCGAGGGCTTGCGGGTGGATGTTGAGGAGACGACGGAGCGGGTATCTGGATCTCGATCCCGGTCGCGCTTAGAACGCGTAGAGTCGCTGGTGGTGGTGCGGCGGCGGCGAGCGTCGTCGTCCTTTGGCGACTGCGAGGCACCCGAAGAGCCCGTCAGCCTGCTCCACATGGTGACGATGTGAGCACAGAGGATGCGGGTGGGTGGTTATTAGGAGGGCGGGTGGGCAATGGGTTGGGCGCAAACGAGATGGAGCTCTAGGCGGGCGCTGCTGGGTATATCGCTGTAGATGGCAGGTAAGAGAGAGAGGGAGAAAGATGAGATGAATCGTTCAAATCGTCATATCGTGATGGTAGTGTTACACGGGGCAGGCTGCAGCAGACAGGCCAGCGGGAGAGAGGCGCAATGCCAGACGACAGAAAGCAGAGCAGCCGCTCGGCGTCGTGGTCGCCAACGATGGTGAGGTAGGAGGCAGCTGAGGTGCTTGCTCTTAGCCTGTTAGCCTGGCAGAGAAGCCCCGGCAGCCAGCCGAGAGTGAGCTGGCGGCAAGGGTTAGCCTCGATGCACGACTGGAGGCGAGGCAAGGCTGGGCCAATGGGCTCCCGCTATGGCAAATGCTCCTTCGTGCGGATCATACGTATGCGTAGTAGTAGCTCAGTCTGCGTGTGTGTGTGTGTGGGCATGGCTGCCGATGGCATGCTGGGGCCCTCATCTCCACGCCCCGTCTTGCTTGCGTCGGTCCATGGCCGTGCAGATGGTGCATTGCTCGTATGCTGGCCGAGGGCGGAGGGCGGAGGGCGGCTGGCGATTGACGACTGGCGATGATGGACTACTGGCAGCTGGCACTGTCGCACCACACACATTACGGGCGCGTCAACGGCCACCACGTCGTCTCCATACTTACTATATGTGTGTGCGTACATACAGCCTGTCCGTCCGTGTGTCACCCCAAAAGACCGTGCCAAGCAGCTGCCCATGTGCGCATGCTCATGACGCTGATGATATCCATGCCCGCCGCCCATCCATCGGTAGCCCTCTCACGCCCACCTGCACTCTGCAAATCTTCCCCGTCCACCACACGCATTGGCCTCTTGTTCGACCACTAGCCCATGCCCATGCCCACTCCCACCAAGCCTAAACGGTCCCACCTGTTCCATCAGAGCTAATGCGCCGCCAAGTTCGCGTCGCAACAATAAAACAAAACAAGTAGCCGCGTCCACTACCTTTTTTTGGCTCATTAGCTCAGTCTTTTTTTTATTCTCCCACTACTGTGCCTTCTCCATCGGGTATCAAGTCTGAAACTAATAAAGTCCGCCCCAAAGGGCGCAGCCTACCCTGCCTAGAAAAGAAAAAAATATGCGCCCAGTGTCCGGTGCAATTGCGGCCCAAGGAACCCCCACCACCATCTTATCCTCGTGCCGTGACGTGCTGAGTCGTGCCGTCTGTTGCCTCACTCGTCCCACGCCTGCCTTTGGCTCGGTTTCCTCACCCAACTCCCCCTTCCACCACTTGACGTGTACAAGCCGCTCTCCAATGCTTCTTGCTTGCTTCAACACCCCCGTACCCTGCCGTTTGCGTACTACATAGGTAGTATGCCTCCACAAAGCTCCCAAACCACATCTGGGGGGCTTTGACCCTCCTTTTGCTTGCCCATACTAGTGTCCATGTATGTATTTATGCATTATACATCCTCTACTCATCCGCCCGCAAAGTCCGCGGCCCCTTTAAACAACACAAAGTTCCATCTCTTGCTTCTTTCAAAACACCCTGCCTACGGACGTCCTCCTGCCATAAGCATCTGCCGTATCTGCATAATCTGCGCTCGGTACTCGGGCGTCAGCTGGTCGATCTGCTGCGGTGTAAGGGCCATGACCTGCGCATACAACGCTTGCTGGTCCAGGGCCGCAGGTTGTGCTTGCGGAGCTGGCTGTGGAGCTTGTGCGTAGGGCTGCGGAGTGGGCGCTTGGGGTTGTGGAGGTGTGGGCGCAACCTGGGGCGGATATCCACCATAGTTCACAGGCGGTCGCGCTACTTGTGGTGGAGCTTGCTGCACTGGCTGAACAGGCGGCGCCTGCGCCACTGGGGCGGGAGCCGCCGATGTCTCCACGAGCGACGTGAGAATCTGCGGGTCAACTAGCTGCAGGAGCAGGAGCGACTGGAAAATGGCATACGCTAGCTGCGGTGCCTGTCGCAGTAGCTCCGTCGCCTTGGCTGGGTCCGTCATAACAAGCCCCTTCATTTGTGAGAGAATGTCAAGCAGCTGGTCCGGGGGAAGTGTAGACAGCGTGCGCGAAATGGCGTCGGGGCATGTGAGGTTGGGCGGTAACTCGACACCTGGCGGCAGAGGACCCAGTGTGCTCGATGGCTGCGCTGGGAGAGGTACTGCGGCTGGCTGGCCGTTCATGCTCATGGGTGCCTGCGTGTTCGGGTCGCGGCTCGAGGGCGCGTTATCGCCAGAGCCACTCTCGTTGGACCAGTCGACCCTCAGTTTGCGCCCCATGAGATCGTAGTCGTTGAGGTTGCGCACCGCCGAAGCTGCTGCGTCCGCGTCGGCGAACTCTGCGAAGCCGAAGCCTTTGGGTCGTCCCGTTTCCTTGTCATACACCAGCCGAAAGTTGTTAACCTGTCCAACGCGACCGAGAGTTTCAACAATAAGCTCTTCGGTTCCACCTGGTTAACCATGTTAGCAGCGCGCCTGCGCGTTGAAGCCGCAGTGTCCCATACCATATGGAATATTTCCTATGAAAACCACTCGACCCGCCTTGTCGTTGGGCGCCATAATGCCTTGGATCTGGTCACCAGGTATAGGATGCGGGGTAGGAGAGTATGTAAATGTGGGCGTGAAGTAGGTGTGTGGATGTTTGAAGGACAAAGGTAGTTGACGTTTCTTTGAACACCCATGGCCTTCGAGCTACGGAACTAGGCCCAGGGCTTGGCGCGTCGGACCGCGGCCACGCGATTCAGCCCTGCTCCTCTCACCAACCCTTGCCAACATTCACACGGCCCAAGCAATTCGCATCATTTCTAGTCATATCCATTTCTATATAGCACTACTATTTTACAATCTTGACCCGAGGTTCATAACAAGCTCTTTCGTCATCTAGTATCCTAAACATCCTACAACTTCGCACTCTGTGGTGCGCAGCATTGGCCGTCCTTGCCCACAGTCGCAGTCACGCTCGGCTGCTGGTGCTGCTCGCTCAGCAGGCTGCTCTTGTTGAACGCCTGCTCGCTTGGTGGCACGTCCAGTGCTGGGTTCTTGTCGAAAAAGTTGACTGGCTTCAGGTGAATCTTCAGAATTTCACAAGGCATAACAGGAAAGTCTTCGATCCTGGGTACGTGATTAATGCCTGCTTGAATGTATACTACCAAGTCGGTATCCTTGACGCTGTCGTTCCTCTCTGCCCACGAACGCACACCAGTTCCTCCTCTTGACTGGTTGGTGTATGTGCCGCCAGCATACAGCTCACCGTCCTTGTGCTTGACGACGTAGATGTTGTGGTCGGCAAACTCGGCACGCTTGTAGTTGAAGCTGTCCTTGTCCGACAAGAGTTTCTGGAATGGAGGTGCCTGGATCTTGTATGCAACTGCCTTTCCATTGACCGGGTTTCGCACATTTGGGTTCTGGATTTTGAAGGTGCGATTGTTCTCGTAGGCAATGTCGTAACCGCCAGACTTCTCAACAACTGTCTCCTGGACGTAGTAACCTGTCCCGTGGGGGTTGAAGTCTGATCGGGGCATAGGAAAGGCTTCGTCGTACACCAAACGATTATTGTAACCGTCAATCATAGGGTCGACACGCAACGAGAAGATATGCTGGTGGTGAGCCGCAAGCACGCCAGGGTGTACAACGGTACCGAATGGTACCTCAACGCCCTCGTCAATAGGCTGTGTGCTAAGAATACCAGTTGCTCTGATCTCGTAACTGATCTCTCCAGCCTGATTGAAGATGAAGGCCAGAATGTACTCGTAGTTGCTTACGGTAATGATGCTCTGGAGTACTAGCTCTCGGCTTCGAGCGACGACTGCGCGGCCGGTGCGGTAGTTGGTGTGCTTGAAGCCAATTCCTGCATCTTGCTCGTGGATGCATACTACATTCGGCATATCAATGACACCGCCCTTGTCATCTGACAAGACAGAGTTCAGGTAATAAATCGAGCCCAGGCAATCGCAGCCAAGTTTCAGATTGTTCGCCATGATACCAGCACCAGCATCGCCCAAGTCGAAAGCGCTCTTCTTGTGGTATGGGGGGCGTGGGTCTGCGTATGGAATATTCATGTCGCTCAGACTAAGCCTGTAGAAGAGGCTACGGTTGTCGTATCGAACATCATAGAGTACCATACCCTCACGCTGGTTGAAGCCGACCCTGAACTGCCACTTCTGCCATGAGATGACACTCGACGTTCCCTGTTGTTGAACCTGAAAGCTAGCGCCTTCAGGCTGGATAACATTCAGAGGCTTGAGATCTGTTCGCAGCTTCTGCGCCTCCGGAATGTACTCATTGGGTGGTTGTATTTTGTACTTGCCCACCGGCTTGATAGTGTTGTCTGCGCCAGTAGGCAGCAAGTCGATGCCAATGACCGTCATCGTCACCGTGCTAACTACGGGGGAAATCGGCAACGGCATGGCATAGTGATTTGAATCTGCCTCGGACGAGTTCATCGGGTCCCTCAGATAGAGAAAGCATCGGTAGAATCTGGCTTCGTCACCAGTGCCATCGGAACCGTATATCCAGGGATCGCTGATGACTACTGCGCCTTCTGGAAGTTCGAGTTTGGCAATTTCGGCTTGTACTTTCTCGTCTGCAAGCGCAACCTTTTCAATTGCAATAACCTCTTCGCTATCTCCGTTGGCATGACTGAAGGGTCCTAGGAGAAGATTGCGCTCGATCCGGCCCGATGTCAAATCGACAATCGCCTCGTGGAATTTACTCTTTGATTAATAATTAGCCACATATACCTAATTCTGCAAAGCACGGACGATGCGCGACATACGGTATTGCGGATGTAGTAGTTGACAAATGCCTTTCTCGGAATAGACGGCAATGGCTTGCCACCGTGCTCAGCCTCCAGGTACTTTAGGACTTCGGTCTTCGGTGGCTCTTGCAATGTAACGACCTTGAAGTGCAAGTCCGTATGTGCCGGCCAGGATGCCTTGATGATCCCCGCAGCCTTCTGAAGTTCTGCTGCGGTCAACGGAGCAAGAGGGTGCCAAGGCGCCGTAGTGGTGGCGTGTTCTCCAGACATATTGATTGAATATATTGTAGCGCAAACACAATGTTAGCTTCCAAGATTTCAGAGTTGAAGGTTGGAGGAGAGGTTTTAGAAAGGAAGCATGCTACTGCGAGCGGTAAATACGTTGTACCTAACACACCGTCTTTATATGATAAGCAAGTGGGTTACCTATCTGTGCTCTGCAGACTGCCGCGAGGACTTGCCAGATTGGTAGTAGACGTCTGAATATCGAGGCGAGAAGTCAAAGTGATGAATCACGTGCACCCTCTACCCCGCTCCTGCCTGTCCTTTCCGAGGACTGGGTCACACTGCCTCAACCATTCGCCATGTGCCATCGCTATCCGCATCTACCAATTTTGAACCTCTACTTACGACAACACAATGCCGTCTGCGACAGTGCGTCTGCCAAAGATGCCTCTCGTGGGCAGGAACAACTCGTTGCTTTCCACTCTTCTTTTGGCAGCCTCGATGTCACGCTTCCAATAACCAGGATAAGGACTCGGACCACATCTTGTATGTACGACTGAAATGCGACGAATATCGACTGGGCAGTGTTGTGCGTTGCGGACTGTCTCAAAACACCAGTGTTCAGAGCCGTTCCTTTGAATACGCCGCGGGCATGCACGACTATGTATGTATCCCTCAGTGGCGTGCGACAGGCGTCCAGCCGTTGCAGATCTCGATTTTCCTTCCTAATTTCTAGAACGTCCACAACCAGTGTCCTGAAACACCAAGAAAACTGGAACCGGGTCGATCGCCAAAACGACAATCACAGTCGACATGCCTTCACGGAGTTTGAAGTATTTCTGAAAAGACCCAAAACGGCGCGGAGCCACCTGCATTATCTTCATATCCGATGTAACTCTACGATACCTCTTTGCGTCGTTTGGTGTCGGGTTCTATGACGAGAACTCTGGACACACCAGGGCGTCACTGACTCGGCATCCGTGCACAGGATGCGTTCTCAAACACTCGGCCATCAATTACACATGATGGCGTAGTATGCACACGACTCCAAACGCAAGGCTGGGCGATTCAGAAAACGGTGTTGTTTCCTTTTTCCTTCGACCGGTTCGACAGGTCCGCCTTAGCTGGATCCATGACAATCTAAACATATTAACCCACATATTAATATATCTTGAACATTTGGCATTGTTCAGTTCCACATGGGCGCCAATCCGGTTTTGCCATCTCCACAGACCCACTACTGTTTGCAAGGTAGCCCATTTCTATTCGCTCAGTTATCACCTCTGACACGTTCATGTCCATAGGCTGTTCATCATAGATTACTAAGTACTATATTCGCAATATTGCTTTCTGTGAGGTCACACGGTGTCCCTGACCTTGTGTCACCAGGTTGTCTCTTGAAGGCGTCTCGGCTAACCGCCACTGGCAGTGAGTATCCACAGTCTGCCTCATGTCCCGGCTTCGCTACCAGTACGGAGAAGCCCATTATGGAAGTCCTGTGACGCGCTTTCATTTCGAGTTTCACCGCTGGCCCAATCAAGCCTGAAGGTTGTACTGGCTTGGAAATGTGCGGAATCGCGCAATATAGGATACAAAGCCCTTGAGTAGGTGAAGAAATGTATATAAGATCAGTGCATGTTCGCCTTGCATTCTCATCCAACATCATCAGCACATTCAGTCCGTTCATTACCCGCTTCACCAAACTCTCATTCTCCAACTTTAATCATGAAGTGCTTCACCGTTGCCACTGTAGCCCTTGCGGCTCTCGCTGAGGTTGCTCAGGCTCACTGTAGGATACACTGCTGTGTAAGATGAGACATCTGCTAACAGACCCAAAGACATCTTCCAGACCCTGACTGCCAACGGCGTCAAGGGAGGTCTGTTCCAGAACATCAGGCCTGTGCCCAACAACAGCCCTGTCACCGACCTGTCGGACAAGAACCTCCGCTGCAACACCAACGGAAACAGCGGCAGTGGAACCACCACTGTGTCCGTTGCTGCTGGCTCGACCGTCAGCTTCACTGCCGATCAGGCTGTCTACCACCAAGGACCAGTTTCCTTCTACATGAGCAAGGCCAGCTCTGCCGCCTCTTCAGACGGTTCCGGTGACTGGTTCAAGATCAAGGAGATTGGCCCCAACTTCTCCAGTGGACAGGCCGTGTGGGACTTGAGCAGTAAGTTAAATGTGCATCTACATCTCCTCGGAACCCCTTTTTAACATAACCACAGCCACCTACTCCGTCACCATCCCCTCCCAGGTCGCCGCTGGAGAGTACCTCCTCCGTATCGAGCAGCTCGGTATCCACAACCCCGGTAGCCCGCCACAATTCTACATCTCTTGCGCACAAATCAAGGTCACTGGTGGCGGCAGCGGCAACCCCTCTCCCACCACCAAGATCCCCGGACACGTCAAGTCCACCGACTCTGGCTACACTGCCAACATCTACAGCAACTTCAAGAGCTACGTTGTTCCCGGCCCCAAGGTCGCTACCTTCTAAGTGTGCTGAATGACACGCGACACGCCATTGAGCGGACGCTACGATGACCCGGGTACTTTGTTTCCCCGCTGGTCTTGTTTCGAACTAGAGGTTCGATTTCACTTCACTGTATATACCTCTGTTGCATATCATTTCGATGTATATACATCTATACCCTTAGTTCAATTCAACCCTTATCACGATATCCTTCTTTCAGTCGGACTGTATGATAGTTCATGACCCGGTCTACAAGTGAATTTATGGCAAACGTTCTAGCCCGCATGTATAGTTTCCATCACTGACAGGTTTCCGGTCTAGGAGGACTACCGTTACACACGGTCACACAAGCTATTCGCCTAAACTGTAAATTATTACTCTAGCCTGTGCATCGATCCTTCATTTCATGCACTACATTCAAGAGATGTTAGCGGTTCTAAGGTCGTTTGTTTGATAGGGAAACCCAGCGCCAGCGCATGGACGTGTTCGTCTTCCAAACGTACTTTTTCTACACAACACACTAGCCCTTACAAAGGGCGATGCGCATTCAAAAAAAAACAGTGCAATGTGAATTGCAGGGTGTTCGCCCAAATCGTCACCTCCATCTTCACATATCGCAACTACCACCAACGCACACTCAACGCTGACATGTATTTATCAGTAGAACGACACTATGATCCTTCCTCGTATTCTTCATTCTGTCTTCGCACCCAGCAGGCCAGAAGGAAAGAAGCCCCCTGCCTCCAAACAACAACATACGCAAATGCCATTCTAGCCCATCTCACCAAGACGTTACTCTAAGCATCAGCCTCATCGACTAGACCCCTAGTCCCGTCTCATCGTTCAATGTCAGCCGGCCCTCCACCAGGCCACCCCTGGTCTGTCAACGTCGGCAACAACCCCAACATCAATCGCGACCCCCCACCACCCCCGATTCACGGCTTTGGGGATCCCATTCCCCAGGCTCCTCCTGCAGCGGTACCTGCAGCCGCTCCGGGCTCAGCAGTAGCAGTAGCAGGACCACCCCAAGTAGTCGTCGAGCAACAACACCACCAGCATAACCCCATCTACGGGCCTTCCTTACCCATAGGCATTGCCCCTCCCCTCGGCACAGGCATAGGTGCGTTTCCACCTGTCCTCCCTCACCCCCTGGGCCTCATGGATCCCTTCCTACTCGGTGGCTTTGCTATACCACCACCAGGCGGCGGCCCCCTCGCCCCCATACGCACCGGCAACTTCCTTCCCAACGCTCAGTACGGCATAGGTTTCGGTCCGCACGCCACAGGCGTAGCTTTTCCGCCGCCGCCGCCCGGCGCCATGGCAGGTGTGCTACAGCCTTTTGCCGCGCCCGCGCCTCTTTGGAGTCCCGCCGCCGCCGGTGGGTTGGCGTTTGGAAACGTTCCTGCTGCCGCCGGCGTCGTCGCAGGAGTAGTGCCTCCGCTAATGAACATAATGGATGCTGGAGCAGCGACACAGCATCATCGTCCCGCGCCGCTCTTCCACGATGCAAATAACGGCCATCACGCCCAGCCTGCACAGGCAGATGTATCGCAGATTGCCGGCGGCATTCCTCCAGGAGTCATGCTCGTTGAGTCGGCCGAGCACACGATTTTCATGCGCATCACGGGCAATGTTTGTCCGTGGTTGTCGCCTGGCGCGTCGTTTGGAATTGAGCAGCTCGCCGCGGCTAGTACGACTGGGCTAAATCGCCTCATTCGGATTTGCCATGATGGAGTTCCCGATGAGGAGCTCGAGGGCACCGCTGTTACTGAGTGCATTGAGCTGGGGAATGGGCTGTGGGAAAAGGGCCAGACGTTTAGGTATAATGATGCTGTGTCTAAGGTGCTGACGCTGAAGGATGCCGGCTGGGATAATACAAGGAACAGGGTTGGCGGGAATTCGCTGCATCTGTGGGGTCATAGGGTCTAATCGCGGTATTACACACGTGCAGGGCAAGGGTGTTTAGTGTGAATTCTCTTGTTTATTTTCGGGGCGATTGGGATTTACCGTGGTGTCACTACTTTTTGTTTGTACGCGGATACCACCTTTGTGTATATTATGGCTACCTGAGGTTTGGGGTTACATTATTACGAATTTCATCTTGAAAGCTTGGAAGTCTAGTTTTGTTCTGGTCAGCTGCACCAAGGTAGAGATGCAATTGGAATAGTTTGAATATTTACAATCTTCTTGTCGGTCATTTGCTACTTTACGCAGGTGTAGGTGTATTTGCCTCACGCGTAATCTCAGCTGTATACTTCTTCTTGCCACCGCCCATCTTCCTCCACAGTTTGCCTATCCACCTTTCCTTGACCATCTTCAGCACAACATATGCAAGGAAGCGATACACGATTGCGCAGATACCTAGAGCCATGAGGTTCATATTCGCATTCTTATTCAGCCGGTACAAGTCAAGTACTTGTTCTCCGGTCTGAATAGGACACTGTCCGTTGACGCGCTGCCAATCTTCACAGGTAAACTTTAATCCGTGTAGAGTAAACGGTGCCATGTTGCCGACAGCCCACTTGACAGGCGAGAGGTGATTCCAGGCTTGCAGGAAATCAGGGATGTCGAGCGAAAGAACGCCTCCCATGACTTGTGCGACACTGAGGAAGACAGACATGCAGTTGACCGAGAATCCAGTATGCGTAAATAGTGTGTTGAACGCAATGCCCAAACTCTCGCCGCAGCTGGTAATGCAAAACGCGTTGTAGGTTATGATGAAGTATGTTTTCGCATTGCGTTCTAGACCGACAGCGAACACAGCGAGGACCGAGAACATAAGACAGCCGATGATTTCAAAGGGCGTCGTGGTGGTGATGTATGTGAGGAAAAATGCTTCCACGCCGTAGACGCGGTCATCGTAGTCTCGATAGAACACGTCTCGCTCAGTTGGATAGACAGCGATATTGTTCAGCACTGCATGACGTTAGCACAGCTCAAGGCTATTGCGTAGAGAGGCACTTACTGCCGACGAAATAGAGTGGCGCAATTTCGACCAGGAATCCAAGTCTGTTTTGCACAGAGAAGTAATCAGTCTTTAGTGGAGAGAAGTAGAGTGCAAGCACGATACCCAGACCGAAAATTTGCATGATTCGCGCGATGATAATGTCTGGCTGGCGAAACATATTCTTCGTCGATCGGCGGATCAAGATTGAGTATGCCGAAAAAAATGACGAAGGCTCTCGTGCCATGCTACCTAGTTCTGCGGGTGTTGTAATCGAGCCAGTACGAGCAAGGGGGAAGGCATCAGGATTCCATGACTGAATAAGCTTGCGCACTTTCTTCCTACTGGCGGCCTCGCGTGTTTCGTGCTGGAGGTCAACTGTTATCAGGTCGAGCGCGAAATCAGCGGGATTGACATGCTCTGGACATTCATAGCCTAAGCCTGCAAAGTGAGGTAACATGTCCGTTGAGTGCCCTGTGTAGATTGGATGTCCACCGCGAGCTAAGAGAAGAACATTTCCAAAGTGACTGAACAGGTCGCTGCGTGGCTGGTGGATAGTTACTATGAGCGTGCGGCCTTCTTGTGCTAATCCGCGGAGGACGTCCATAATAGAGAGAGCCGTGAATGCATCAAGTCCAGATAATGGCTCATCGAGTAAAAGCACCCGTGGCTCCGTAAGAATCTGCACAGCGATCGTAACACGACGCTTCTCACCACCACTAACGCCTTTGACGAGATCGTTACCAATGAGGTTGTCAGCGCAATCCTTGAGACCCATCTTTAGGAGAATCTCTTCGGCCTTTTGAATCTTTTGCTCTTTAGACATCCACTTTGGTAAACGCAATCCAGCTGCATAACGTAGAGTCTCGCGTACAGTAAGCGAGGCAAGAAGTGCGTCGTCATCCTGTGTAACAAAGGAGCAAATTGAATTGACGACTTCCCGTGCAGGTATTAGCCCGTTATAAGTCATAGATCCATACTGCTTATATCGCGTTCCGGTATTGTCCTTGAGTCGCATGGCCATACTATTCAGCAGAGACGTCTTTCCGGAGCCTGATGGTCCCATGATCACATTGAGCGAACCGGGTCGGAAGTCTGCTGTGATTGGGTTTAGAATAGTCTTTGTGGATCTTTTCCGCAGTGAACGCTTCTCGACGTCCAGTCCGTAGTTTTCCAACCTGATATCAATAGTCCTTACGTTCTCGGGTGGTCGCGCATTCATCTTCTCTTTGCCAGCAGAAGCGTCCGTGTTGGTCGGTCTTGCGCGTGCCATAGCAATTTCAGCGTTCCAGAACTTAAGCAGCACACCAGCACCAACGTAAAAGGCAATTGCGAAACCAAGAAGCGCAAGTATGGGCCTCCAGATCCAATTGTTTGGAAAGCCGAGCGAATCCATGATGAATTCGCCATCGTATTCTTTGCAATCAGGATTCGATCGTCCGCCCTCGAGTGGACAATCGTAGAAATGGCCGCTAAACTCATTGGCGCACAGAGCCCCAAAAGCGTAAAAGACGTATGCAATCCATTTGGTCCAGCGTACATAGATGGGAATGGTGTTTGACTGGATGAAGTAACCACAGGCCATGGACTGCAGAGTGTATGCCAGGTTGGCGACCAGACTTGCACCAGCAAAGTTCCTCGAGACTGCAACGCAAGTCATGGCGAAACATACAGCGATGTACTGGTGTAGCAGTATTATACCGAAAAAGGTAAGAAATTGGCCTCCATCGGTGCGGAATCCACAAAAGAAGTAGTAGATTAGGGAGAAGATGAGAGGAACGGGAATGTCCTCGATAAAGATTCTGGCCAACCTTCTGGAGATGAGAAAGGCTGGTATGCTGACAACGCCTTGTCGCGCTTCTTCGTCGAATAGTTGGATGTCGGTAGTAAGTCGATATGTCTCATAGAGGAGAATGAGATATCCCTGAAGCGCAGCTGCATTATAGAGCGCTCCTTGACGAGACCGTATACCTGTCAAGGAGCCATCGAGCTGCAGGAAGATCCAGCCTGTGATTACGGCCATACCAATGGCTTCGACTAAACTGCCGAACATACCTGAAGACATTCTTGTTAGTGGTGCTTTGATTTGCTTGTTGTTTGGGATGTTACTCACCCATGGGGTCACGAATGGTCACGGTCCAAGTCCTCGCGGTAAGTACACGAGTCTGTTGGATGAGTGATGTGCGATTATCTCGCTTATCCCTCGTCGAGGATTTTGTAACTGAAGCACTCAATGTGCCAGCTCCATCCTTCTCATTAGGGTTACTATTACAATGTACTCTCCACGCCTCTATCACACGGCCGACCCGTTCCTGGGCCGCAAGTTCAGCTTCTGCGCTGCGGTTGTCAATACTCACGATATCAATCAGATACTCTGCTGGATTAGTGAATGGTGGCATTTCATGACCCAGTTTTGCAAAGTAGGGTAGGCATTCCTTTGCACTACCAGCATATGCAGGTTTGCCTCTCGACAAAAGAATGACGTTGTCGAATAGATCCCATATCTCGGAACGTGGCTGATGAATTGTAACGATTATGGTCCTCCCTTTTCTTGCCAGTGTCTGCAGGGTCTTGATAACCTGGAAAGCGCTCGTCGAATCCAATCCAGTAGTGGGCTCGTCTAGCCATAACAGCGAGGGATTCGATAGGAGTTGCACCCCAATGCTCGTCCTTCTCTTCTCTCCACCTGAGCACCCCTTGTGTGCATGGTTGCCAATCCTTGTATCAGCTGCTTCTTTCAAGCTCAACTCGAGAATGACCTCTTCAACGAGCCGTTTCCGTTCAGCTTGGGTTACAGATGATGGCAGACGCAACTGCGCAGCGTACATGAGTGTTTCTCGGACCGTCAGAGTTGGAAGGAGTATGTCTTGCTGGATAACGTATGCGCTTTTGATATGCGACATGTCTTCGCTGCCATTGAACAGCGTACGGCCCGAAGTGGCCAATCTGCTTCCCATGGCTAAGCGCCCACTCATAGAATTCAACAGCGATGTCTTTCCACTGCCACTCCCTCCTATGATGGCAGTAAGGCTGCCAGACGGCATGTCTGCCGAGATATCATCCAGGATAGTCTTGACATGGCTTTGGTCGCCCAGTGGTTTCTTTTTGGAGAAGAGGCGTGCAACGGCATTTGGCGACTCGTCGACTGAAACTGTAAGATGTTCAAGTCGCACAGATACAGGACCGACTTCGCGCAATGAAATGCCATGGTCGTTGTGGTGGAATGCATTGGTGGAGTCTCGGTCGTCAGACGGCGCTGCAGGTGTAGGTAAGTTTTGGTCGGTCTCTATCCGACTGGGCGGTTGAGCTGACGGTGTGTCGGGCTCGATTCTGTCTGGCGACTCCATCTTTCAGGGTCTGCAACTAAAACCTCATAGTCGAACCGTTGAAAACGGTCGAAGGAGAAGCACGATCGTAAATAATTGTCGCAACGTGCACGTCGGCACGCGTTGCCTCTTTGCACGGGACAAGACCTTCCTTCATGCGAGCCGCCTCGGTTGCCAACCGAGGTGGAGACACCGCTTGGCTTGACTTACCCAGGCGGATGCTGCTGCTCCGAACATGCATCCCCGGATGGTAAATGACACCCATCGCACCGCTGGACAGCTAGACAAAAGCCATTGGCGTCCGCGCGTACGGACATCGTTCAATAACGTTACGATTCTCTGCATCCAAAATCTCACGGCCTCATCAAGGCCGAGGACTGAAACATGATTTGTCCACCTTCTGAATAGTTCACAAGTACGACCCCACCAACCTGCCGAATACGGGTAGCCCGCCTTTGCGCAATATGCTTCTTCGGTCCTTTTAGCTATCTATACGCTCTGGAAATCCTACATCCGAACCCGGGTTGTCTTGGTATCGCTGAACAATGAGGGATATCTGGAAATCTTTACTGGTATTCCACATCTGTTCCTGTAGATATCAAAGGTGGCCAAAGCAGCGGGTCTCAGCCGGTGAACGACAAAGTCGAACCGATAATCTGATAATCGGGGAATGTCTTGTTTTGGCCGCTGGCCGTTCCGTCTGGGCTCTCTCCCGTGTGGGGAAGTGGCTGCGTCTAGTCACGCATACGACTGACCGACTTTCCACGCTACTCGGCAATGGGTTCTAGACGTTCCAAGTGATAGTGCCAATGAGACGGTAGGAAACATACCCGATGTGATATTGGAAGAATTCGCGAGATGAAGGAGGAGAAGGATCTAAGGAACATTATGTGTTTTTCGAGCACAATGCATGAGAATGGTCATTTCTTTAGCGAAGTCATTTCCAATCCTTGGCAACGTCCGCCCGTTGAGCCAGGTCTTCAACGGTCAATACTTAACTTTAGGGGCTACAGCTCCCAATGAAGAAAGTACGGCCGTCTGGTCGGCCTCCCCGGAGAATTAAGGTTGTAGTCGGCACGCTTAGATGTAACAAGCATTTAGTTGCGAACCTTAACCTGTGGGGCTGATCTCAGACTGCCCATGTTCAAATCCTACTATTCCTATAGGGTAACTTGTGCGACAATCATCAGTACACACATTAAGAAATATAATGAGAACTTTGTTCGATGCAGGTACATCTACTATCTGTCAAGAAGATATGCACGGCCAAGGTAAATGAGACGTGATGTGAGAACTGAACTCGTATACTGTAAGCACCATACTGATCATCAACATTATGGTGATGATGTAAGACGTGACTTAATGCAAAATGCAGCACGTACCTGATGAACCGAGTTTGTGAGACTATATTGGAAGACAGCATGGCCCAGGAAAAATTGATACGTTATTTCTCTGGCCTCGATGCTGATACCTCCAGTCTATGTGCTCTTCCATGCCATCTTTCTTCTTGAATTTGTTCAAACGAATTGATCGTTATACCGACAGGCAGTTTTGCTAGCAACAATCACAGTAAAATATGCACATCATAGCTAAATACATCTACTCCATCAGATACTCATTAGTCCTCTCAGTGTGGTCAAGCACCACAAATACTACACTCTACAGCACAAACGACACCTACCTCATAATTACAGTGGCTAAATAGCTTCACATGCTTGTAGAATTGGCAATTGGCAAAGTGTACCACGTACTTCATACATCTAAGGTCTTGTCACTATGCACTAGCCTCATACTGACACCCTTCTTAGCTCTGCCCAGTGCCAGAGCTATACACGCCAATATTTGCCCTTGAGTATTTACTAATCAAATTTCGACAATGATAATCTTTGTTGACGTACAAGTTCTCGCTATATCTCTTCAACCTCGGCGTCATTACACCACTGTCATCCTTGCCAAGCAAACAAGCTACTGTTAGCTCCTTGAGTCTTGGTATTTACATTTAGTAAGTATTTAGTGCATAATAGTACGAGAAAAGGCGCGCATTTTAATACGAACAGTGATTAGTGATCGCACTATCGATTTCAGAAGTTCCAAGCGTCTCAAGACTAGTTTTTAGTGAGTGATTAGTGAATTATGTAGCTCTTCCGAGATACTTTCCGGGTGGACGTGTGATACGTGTGACTTTTGTGATCTGTTGATTGGAGTTAGAAAGAGTCATTAGCGTGCTATTGTTACTGCCTAAGAAATATAGAAACGGTGAATGATTATGTGGATAGGGTTAGTAGCACATAGTACACATCTAAAAAATATCCTTGAACAGTGAGTAATCATGCAGTCGTGTAGAGGTGCCCGCACTTTAGCACAGAGGAAGAAGAAGAAGAAGACGAAAACAATGATCTAGCTCCTTAGTATGTTCTCTTGATCGAAATAGAACTTGCCATCTCTTCTTCTGCCTTCACTTTGAGTTCCTAGGTATTCTTTGAAAATGCTTTCTGTTATCTAAGTCCGGCCACACGTTCTTCTTCCACATCGATACCGAACGTCACATTTGCATATTTCCTAACTCAGCATTGCAACAAATCAAGACTCATATTTGTTTACCTATCAACCTAAAACCATCAATAGCATTCTTAATACACACTGCGAGAACGCCATGGCTTCACTGCAGCTCTTTTCCCAATATTTCAAAAAGCCCATGAGGTGGAGTATATTTCACATTTTCTCTTTGCAACATGTTATATCTCCAAGGTTCACCTTTGGAATGACAAATCCTAATACCATACCTTGAGAAAGAGTAAAAATAAAATAGTCAAGACACAATCATGCTTCATTCATCACTTTCACACATTAAAATCACGCATATTTCTCATATCTCTGCAGTGCTTCGAGGTTGATCTACCTGTACCACTGTCTTGAAAAGCGTCTTATCAATCATTGTCACAGATTTAATAAATGCACAGTTCAATCTCTGGGGTCTCTAGTTTGTAGGTAAGCAGAATGTTAGTAGGAATAGGGAGAATACGTTTGTTTAGACACGAGAAGAGTGAAGGAATAAGTAGTTTCATTTCTTTTATCCCAGTCAATTACACATGTAGCATCAAGCAAGATTTACATCCTTCGACTATGTCTTCCAACTATAGATGCTGCATCATGCATACATCAAATTATCACTGACAGCAATCCACCTATGACATCTAGTACTCTATTCACCAGTATTTCTACCCGTCCATTCACGCATGATCAAAAAACAATGACAAAGAAACAAAGTAATACCACACACAAATAACGAACGAATCCAGCGACCTGCATCGCTCTCTCGTCTCTTTTGCCTAAATAAAACCCACATTTCCGTCATACCACTCCACCATGCACATTGTTACCCAAGCAACAAAACGCACACAACCCAACGATAATGTACCGGGACCATGTTAACCGCCGAGTCAGGTTCACATGTCGAAAGAAAAATCAAGAAGAAGAAGAGGAGAGCTCAAACTAAATCCCCACTTCCACACACAGTTCCAATGTAGTATCTTCTACATATTCACCTCTCACACCCCCCCCCCCCCATCAACCCTTTCACCACCCAGCACCACAGCTCCGGCAACACTTGACAGCGGGGGGACGCAAACGGGCGCATCCGGACCCGCCCTTCCCCCCTTCGATCCCCCTTCAAAATCGAACTCCACACTACACCCCAGCACCATGCAAAACGCAACCCCACTTAACCCGCGATAACACTCGCAGTACGTTGGTCGGGCACGGAACAGACGGAAAGAAAAAAAAAACAGGCACCTGGTATCGCCACTTGCATCCTTGTTATTTCTTGTGCTACAAGACTTTATACCCCGTCGGGTCATGATTATACTTGCTAGTGTATCGTCGCGCACGCATGTGCCCATGCGTGCGTGCGTACGTAGTTAAAAACTTACGTATGCAAACAAACCACTGGATTCAGCAAGCCCACAACGCTACATGGACGTTACTTTACTTGTGACAAGGCGCGCCTTTTCCGTTGAAATCCGTTTCGCTGGCTCTCATACTTTGTCCATGAAAGCTGCGGATTTTTGGGGGGCCTTCATGCATCGTCCGTCCCTATCTGCCGTGCACAGCAGCAGCAGCGGCGGCGGCGGTGGGCCCAGGCAACACCAAGCGATTCATGGCTTGCAAAATGGCAAAAAGAAAGGGAGAGCGGTTGCTGATCTTCCCGTCTGGGACTGTAGATGTCCGATTGGGTCGGGGATCGGGGGCGGCGACGGCGGCGGCGATGGGGAATGGGAAGGGGTTTGAGAAAAGTAACTTAATGGGAAAGGGAAAGGGTACTTCCGGCCTCCTTTCCTCTTTCCCGCTGTTGTTATACTAACTACTCATGCCAAGGCGATATCATGACTAGTTCCTTGTGCAGTTACAGTGCTCTCTATATTTGTATGTATGTGTGCTATTTCGAACGAAGAGGAGGTTGGTAGGCCGTTTGGGGGGATCGGCGGGGGGAGGGTACGTACATACGAGACGTACTTATGTATGTATATGTAGGGTTGGTTGGTTGGCTGGTTGCAGCTGCGTGTTGTGTGTGTGTGTGTGTGTGTGTGGCTTGCATACAGATTTGTTGGTGGGTTATGTGGGAATACGCGCGGTAGAACAACGGGGAGCAAAGCGGGGGGAAAGAGAAGCGGGAAAGCCATCTGCCACTTTCCTTGGTTAAGAGAGAGAAAAAGGGCCGATGGGGAGACCCGGTTTATTTGTACTTGATATACTGTGTACGTAGTTACCTCCGGTTTTTTTCTGTTGCTGTGTATGTATGAAGATCCAATTTTCTCGGCTTGTTGCCTCACTTTTTTTGTGGTGACTTGGTTTTTTTGTGTATGCGGGTTTTGCATCATCGTGCAGTGTTGTGCATCGACGTAGAGTCAGGAAAAAAGGGCCATAGATGAAAAAAAAAGCGGGAGATAGTCCATCGTGCGCTTTGATCAATGTTGCACTGCGCGATGGTGTGGCTAGGTGGGTGGGTTATGCGTCAGGTGCATTGCACTAATCGCGACGGTAACGATTGCCGAAATCTTTGTGTCCATTCCCTCCCAATCTCATCTCGTGTCCACATCTCATGTCGTCCGCCTGCATCTTAACTCTGCCTCCGCGGAGCATCATGACTCTATTCCATGTATACAAATGTGATTTAAGCACCCACACACAAACTACTCGCAGGCAGCAAGTTTTGGTTATGCTTGAGGCTGGGCAATATTGAGCGATGATAGTTGCAAGGCAGGCGGATACCGTGCCCAGCCTATTGGGACCTCCCGTCGCCCTCCACTACCGCTATACGTACCCAGCACTAACATCTGTATCCGCAACCCGCCGTGGTGATCAGTCGTCAGCCTTGGGGAAATAATATCCCCTTCTACTTATTGCGGCTCACTAGCATGCATGATATGATCGTCATCAACCCCGGAGAGTGTCTTACCTTGCGCAATACCGAGTTTTTGCAATAACGATATCAATCACTGTTTTTATTTCGACTTCGGCTGATAGATGATTATGAGCCCAAAGTCACACGGCGGCGGCAATTTCCGATCGAACGACGACGACGACCACTCCTCCACCACGCTTTTCTCGTCCTCATACTCAGATATGGTCTGATAATATCAAAGCAAGACAAAGAACAGGGCTGGCCCAGCGGCCCCCTCCCCCGGCCTGTCATTCAGGTTGGCCGTCCACCATCATCCCTAAAGCCACGCGTAGCCATGTGAAAGCTGACACAAAAAACCCTGTTTCCCTGTGTCAGCTGCAGGTGCATCACTGGGAGGCGAAACGACAACGCCTCACGTATGACTACCTCTATCCCAGAACATCTGGTTCGCATGGAAAATCAGTCACGTTTTCCCTATTCCCGTAATTCTCGCAAATCACACCGGTCTTGTTGACGAATTACTTCAGATGGCTTGCGTCGGCATACGCCGTGGTGTGCCTGCGAGTTTAGCCACATACACATACACACATACGTACACAGCAGCTTACATCGGTGTAAGCGAACCCAGACTCCAGAGCAAAACGGTATAAGGCGCCCAATGACCACGTGCAGGCCACATGTCTGATGCATGTGACGGGCGTAAAAAAACCAAGCCCTATCTCTTCTCGTTGCCTCGGACCTCTCAGGCAGAGACAATGCACAATTGATGACGGTCCTCATTCCCCAGAGTCTGGGAACGGCATCCCACCATTCTGGTCATGTACCTTGTACGACGGAGAATTTTTTTGTCTTTTCTTTCTATTCCTGCTCTTAATTGCCCATGACAAAGGTGGTCTATGCATAACGGGGCGAAGGAAAAAAAAGAATGATCGGTCGACGATATGCAGGCACCGTGCGCTTAGTAAACGGTTATGCGGCGAACCAGAATAAAAATAAAAGTTGATAAAATAATTTCCAGGCCAAGGCGTTCGGAGGATCGCCTGAATGCTTTGAAATGTGCGTGCACGGTAATCAGTCTTGCCATTTTGATAATGATAATATGCGTGACATGGGCGGATTGAAGTGTCCAGACCCGGGTGAAGGGGAATTGCACGTGCGGCGGGATACTTTATTGAGAAGCATCAACGGGTCTTGCCTGTGTCAGTCCCAAGTTGGCGTGACGAGTGGATCCGCTGTGAACGGGTCGTGGAGAAGAGAACCCTTGATTTGTCGATTGCGAATGCGAGGTAACGGATAACGGGGCGATCTGGTCGGCTTGTGGAGAGAGAAATTGAGGCCCCCTTCCGATGGTGACAGATGGTGATTGCTTGCCTTGATGTCGTTATCGCCCTGATGATAGTGTATGTATGTCCACTGCTCTTCCCGGAATAAGCTCCCGGGCTCGCGGAGATTGAAGACGAGATTGGAAGAGCAACAGCGGCTCAGCTTGGTGTGCATGCATTGCAACATGTACCAAGCTGCGAAAGGACGTTGTGGCAGGCCCATACTAAGGCTTGCTCTCGGGCGAACGTCATCCATGACCCTTGTACCATGCCCCCCCCCTCCCATGAACCGTTGCGCACATGTACCTTATGGCTGCAACGTTGCACATAACACGAAGGATGCTTGTGGTCGGGTTCCTGCGAAAACGCCATTTTCATACTTAGTGCCAGGTACACTGGACAATGGAAAATAGTAGGTCCCTTGAGTCAAGTTACATCATGTCCAACAATCGCATGGTATGGAGTATACGACACAAACCCTGCCTGACAAGCGTGGGGGGGAAGGGTGAAGAGGCGGGGACTTGGCCAGTCAGATGCAATCTGGGGTCATCAAAGGCCAAAAGGGCCGATTGATGCCTGTATGCTGATTATGATACTTCGTGTTGCTGGTATTGGGCATGCCGTCATCCTTGCCCGCTAGGAAGGTGAAGCGGCGGTACTCGAGGGGCCTGCACCACCTGGGGACCGGACAAGAGCGCAACCGTAGGAGTAGGCCTCCAGTAAGCGCCTCTCAGGCCGGCCCACGCCCAATTACTGTGACTGGACATGAGACCGAGTGGCGCACTCCCCCCACGCATTGCCGGAGATTGACCCTGGTACCTTGGGCCGATCTGCCTGTCGGCATTCGTGTCCCTCGTCTCGTGGCTCTGCTCTGCGTACCAGTAGCAGGCTGGTAATACTGTACGCGAGCAACACAGAAGCAGCCTACTGTTCCAACCTTTGGGTTCTAGAGCGGTCGCTGGGAACGCTCCCGCTCTCTTCGGCCGGTTAAATGCACCAGCGCGCTGTGAGATGTCTGTGGCTGCAGTCCTCAAGGTTTACTGACTCGGCCGCATTCCCACTCCTCTCCCCATGCATCCAAATATCGTCGTTCCGACGAAACGCGCGAAGGATGCCCGCCAGAGTGTTGGGTTGCGGGTGCATGCGCGGATTGGAGGAAGAAAGAACCATGTTCCCGCTTCAAGGTGGACAGGTCGGGGGGGTTGTGGCATGGTTCGGTCGTGAGAGCCTGCAGCCAGCCATGTACGCATTAGTATGCATCCAAAGCATGCCAACCAGCCTGCCTGACAACAAGTAGGCCAGCCAGCCCAGCGACCAGCTGCATCTTAGCAATGCGCACTTGTGCCTCACTTTCAATCACCGAGGTAGATCAGTCAATCGCTTGCTCTGCCATGGGTTCCCTCCCCAAGTCTATGTTACAGATTCCAGCAAGCAAAGAGTGGAGATATCGGATGCGTGTTGCTGTGCCGCGCTGTATATACCTTGCCCTCCTATGCATACATACGTGTCGTCATCGCAACGAACGAAAAAAACAGAATGCCTGCAAACTACAGTCGGTCCTTATTCAACAAGTGCTGCAATGCCATGTGTACGAGTTTGCCTCGTCAACGCCACGCTTTGGGGTGTGTGTGTGTGTGTGTGTGTGTGTGTGTGTGTGTGTGTGTGTGTGTGTGTGTGTGTGAATGTGTATGTGTGTGTGTTTGAAATATGTGTGTAAGTGTGTAGGTGTGTGCGGGCGTGTATGTGTAAGTGCGTGCGTGCGTGTGCGTGTTGGTATGCACCCATGCATCCGACCTTACATGGACGCTGTCCAAAGCAAAGTGTTGTGATGCGCAAGGATCCTGCAACTAAACGGCAGCCAAGCAAAACAAGCGACGCTCATGGTAGAAAAAGCGAGATACAAATAAAAAATAGAACAAAAATAAGGTGCTGAACCAAAACAAAGCCGTTTTCCCCGTTACCCTAACGCAGTACCGCCGTATGTGTGTGAAAGGGGAGAGAAAAAAAAAGACCCACTCCTAATGCAACCTGGTTGTGAGGCTCGTACATGTAGCCCATCGCTGCCGGTCCGACCCTCGTTGAAGCCGTCGAAGAACCACGCAATCGGTCCACCAAGCAATCCATGACTCCTTTTTGACGCCCTTACAATCCTCGTTTGAATAAGAAACCCTGGGAGCCGAATATGCTGCCGAGGTGTTGCGTCACGGTGCAGCTTTCTCGTGGCCATGAGAGCCGTGCACCGCGACAGACCCTGTCTTCAGCGTCGGCTACATCATCCTGACCCACACTGTGAAAACAGTGAGAAGGCCTCATCCAGGAGAAGCAGTCGGAAATGACGCGCCAAGCATATCGCGATCCCCTCAGGCAGTTTGTGACTGGCTGAAGCATGTGCGAAGTGTCCCAGCGACTCCTATCCCACATCAAGTCGCCAGGAAATCCCATCCACGGGCGTTGATCAGACGCTCCCAGTCCCAGCTCTCTTTCTGTACCTCTGGATCATCAGAGCTCATGAGTTCCCAAACTTGATCAACAACCTCTTTTGCAAATCCAATGTTGCCTAGTCCAGTGCATGCAATCAGTCCGGCGAAAGCTCGGTTGATCTCGACACGCTGCTCTTCCTCAAACGCTGCACACCCAATCAAAAAGAGGGGCAGGAGAACATTGCTTTGAACCCAACCCTCTGCGGGTAGTTCGTTAATGTATCGGATACCGTCATCGACAGCGCTCTTGATAAAGGGATGAGGCTTTGAATCTTTGGTTGTGCGATATAGATAGACCCATGTCGCTTGGCGATACAGCATCGAGATTGTGTAACGAGGGGATCCCGGTGTATGAGGGCACACCCATCCACGCAGACCAGTGTCGATAGCATGTGCTGAGAGCAGAGCTTCATAGTCCATGATGGGCTCAAGCTTCTCATCGATACGGGCACGAATCTTCCGTCGCAGGTTGCTAATCTTGGAAATGAAGCCAAACAGGCCGTCCGATACCCCGATGAGCCCCGCTGTTTCCGGGCTGATCTTGAAAGGTAGGTTGAAATCGTCCATCATCGGTACCTCAGCGCCATCAAGAGACGTGATCTGGCTAGCGATCCAATGGTAGTAAAAGAACTCGTCGAAGAGCGTCTGGAATTCTGGATTGGAGGACTTCTGGTTCATCGCAATCTGCTTTGCCGCAATCATGTGCATCCGGTATTCGCCCGATGTGTTGCCGTCGCAAATCGAATGTAGAAGGTGAAGAAGGATCTGTGCCACATTAGAGTCTTCATAGACCATGACCCCGCCTTCGCCGGCTTTTTGCCGTTCGAGATCGTGCTTGAGAAGCTGCAGAGCTTTGCCTCGATGGAAAGCCTGCCTGTCTTCATACTCCTGCAATGGGTTGACAGAATACATGTGAGAGGCCGATAGACACAATACTGAGTGCATCAAGCCTTCGTGCTGGAGGGCCATGGGCAGCAAGATCTTGGTAAAAGGGTTTGTCGACTTGTCGCCGTGTAAGGTGAGTACGGCACTGGCCCTGCTGACAAAATGCTGGAGGAGATTGCGGTCGAGATCGTTCTCAACGCCCTCCATCAGAGGCGGCAGCTCGAACTTAACATCTTGACTTCGCTTCCGCGCTGTTGCATTGTTAGCCTGGCTGACTCTTTAAAAAAGCAAAGGGGGTAAGATAGAACTACAAACCTTCTGCGGCGCGCTCTTTTCCGCTCTTCCAAATCTCGACAGGCTTGTAGCCTTCGCAATGAATGTTGTTCTTTTGACATGACAAGCCTACTCATCGTTAGCATACACTTGGCGGCGTTGGGATTGGGTGTGCGATTACAGAATGGCTTAGTCTCGTCACACTTCTTCTTTCGCTTCCGGCATGTCGTGCAGCCAGTCTTTGATCGAGCTTTGGCTTGCTTGGCAAGGGTCGTTGGTGAGCGAGGAGGGTGTATCCTTGGTCGACCACGGGCTCTTCTTATCCGAACTGGTTCCGTTGGGGAGATGGGTGCGTCTTCCGGAGATGGTTCTTCCTTGACATCGGCCAGTTGCAGCTCCGTCTCTTCCACTTTTGGCACTACCTCAAGGGATGCTGTTCGTCCGTCTGTCCTCTCTTCTGACGTTGTATCTGGGATGGTGAATACGTTTGAATCGTAGTTGGGGGTGGTAAATGGGGAGTCGCTAGCGGAAGACATGGAGGGCTGTGGCGATGAGCTCGTGCTCATCCGAGTGTGCGCGCCTGGCGGCGAAGGGCCGAAGGAATTGGTTGAGATCATTCGGTCCAAGAGTCGGAGACGTTTGGGAGACTACTGGTAGAAGGGAGCATGCATTGGAAGTGTGGTTGTTTCTACGCGCGGATGGTTACGCAAAGTAAGAGACGCTGGCTGGCTGGCTAGCTGACTGGCAGGCTGGGGGAGGGGGGAGTGCGTGCGTGTGGATGCGGCACGGCGCAATGCAGGAAAGCAGCCACCAGAAGTTATCTTGTGTTACCGCCGGTCAATGCTGGCTCGCAAAAGCACAGGTTAGTTGTGGAACGGTGCGGCAACTGCTGGAGCGGAAGATGGGCAGCGTGTCGTAGGAGGGTCCAAGCGGTCCGCTTCTGATGCCTCGAGCGATCGCACGGTAGGTTGCGTGAGAGCGGGGGGAATGCGTCTTTAGCGAGTCGTGGGCGCCGCAGAACATCCAATAAGGTTGGGGAGGAACTAACGGCAAAAGAGCGTCGTTCCGAGATGAACGGCTGAGCTGAACACAGACCAGGACAGGCAGGGATGGGGGGCAAAGCCAGTTCACTGGGAGATGTTTCGATGTCAATGTCGATGTTGATGGTTGAAAGGGCCGAAGTAAGAGATGAGTCGCGGGAGGGTGCGGAGGCGCGATAAAAGGCGTGGCGATGGTGTGTGCTCGAACGGGTGGGATATGTCGACTAGGTATTAGAGTGCAGGGCCGGACAGCTCGAGCCTGGCAACGCAGCAACGCAACGCAACGTAGCAAGGTAGGGTAGGCAGGCGAGAGGATATAGTGTGTGTTAAAGTAGCGTCGCAGCAGCAGGACCAAGTCGCTTCCAAACTGGTTAATGGAGGATAATCCTAGAAGTAATCCACCAGTCCCGCTGTATCCATGACCCTGGGCCGCCATCAACTTAAAGCAGAGACTCGACCGACGCTCGCAGGCCAGCACCGGGCAGGCAAAGGACAGTGTTGAGCACAGCTGGCAATTGTATTGGAAAGCCGCAGCTGACTTGCCCGTCCATCCCGCTGGCGCGAACGCTACATTGTCTGGAGTTTTCTGCAAAACCTGATGAAGCATTGAAACGTGATGTTGCTAGTCTGTGTATCGAATGGTGCATGAATCGCTTTGGAGCGGCTTCATCTCATCGCTCGTCTGCTAGCCACCTCGCCCTCCTCGTTGGTTGCACAAGCTTCTCAGCGTCGAAGCTGGTGACCCGGCGGTAGCAGGGGGCAGGCTGCAGGTCGTGGTGTGAACGCCCTAGTAGGCCCTGCACGCATCCGATACCCTTTTGATTGACCACTTGCTGACAGCCAAGCTCGGCTGGCCATGCTTTCGGCACCCTTCTCGATCTGCTGCTGATTGTCACCACTCAGACACGATGAATTCACCACCAGGCACTGGAACGGCTAGCAACTGCGCGCGGCACTTAGGAGTAGTAAGGCGCCCTTTGTCGATTATCTGCCCCACTTTGCAGACGCCCAGCATATCGTGCTACATCTCCGCGATGCTTTGCGTGTGTGACCTGACGACGCTACTTCTCCACACTTGTGCTCCGGTCGAATCGGACACGCTGCTGCGGCTCTAGAGCGTTCTTGTGCGGCAGGACCAAAGGCGATCATAACACGCCGATAATCGACCAGGCTGTGTTGAGTGTTTCCAGCAGCAAGCCACATGTCAGGGATGGCGAGGCCTAAGGGATCCTCACGTCGACAGCCGTCCTGGCTGGTAGGCTCGCAAAGTAACGGCCAGCCAAAGTCTGTTCGAGATGTCATAAGCTCGCATGCACAGTCCCCGCAATCACGACGCGTGTAAGCGAGTAGCAATCACAATCGGCTTACAATCAATCTAGCGCTGCTTTGGGCCTAACTGACGAGTTTTCATGTGTGCATCTACCTGCGTGGCGAGTACACTGCCGACGATCTAGGATAGTCCTCTTTTTCTTTTCTTTTTTTAAATCTTGGAGTATGCAGTGTTTTTGCGCGAGGCGATTCCCTGCGTGTTGAGGATCTGGTTACTTTGCGGCCGGAGCGGGACGACGGGCACAAAGGGGGCACGCTCCCAGCGCTGGCTCCTGGCAAGTTTCCGCAGTACCCTGACCTGCCTTCGGTCCCAGCCGAACGCTATGACGGGGTCGTCAGAAGAAAGACAATTGCCACGCTCGTCAGTGAGTTTAGTGCAGAGTGCATGTACGGACATAGCATGCGTCTATGTCCGTATGTACATATGTAGCATGCTAGGCACATCTTGTCCTTGGACACACTTCCCAATCGAGATGTGACTTGGGCAGCATATACTGTGGCGTTTTTCTTCAGCGACGGCGGTAGCTTTTTTTGGGAGTGCAGCTTGCCGCCAACTCTTGTGGGCGAATCAAGCAGTCGAAGCCACCCAGCCAGCATGAGTCGGTAGAAAAGTATCATGTTTCGGTTCGGCCGTCTCATGGCGATGTGGAGCTAGGCGGCCCACACCTGCTTCGATGTTGCCGTTTCCAATTTACTACAATGAGCCTCTTTTGGACCGCAATGTCCGCAGCTGACGAGTGTCATGACGCATCACACCCTCGGGGCCAGGTCTGGTGGTTACTTGAGGGGGATGGGATGAGGATGAGCTGGAGAAGGGGTCAGATCCGGTGTCCCTGCGTGTGAT